CGGGCGGTCAACTCCTTTTCCAGCCTTTCGGCGAAGCCGGTGAACAGGGTGGAGCCGCCAGCAAGAACCACGGCAGCGTACAGGTCCTTGGCGTGCTCCGCCCCGCACTTCTCAATGCTGTCGTGCGCGAGCTGGTGGAGTCCGGGCTGGGAATCCCCGTAGGGCAGGAACGCCGGCTGGAAGAGAGCCTCCGGGCAACGGAACCGCTCATTGCGCAGGGTGATGACCTCTCCGTTAATGAGCTCGTAGCTGTGCTCCGGGGACACGTCGGGCATTTCTTTCTGCATCTCCTGGTCGAAGTCAAGCGCCACGTAGCACGACCTCTCGATGTAGCCGCTGATTACGTCTAAATCCACTGCAATGCAGAAGCCAAAGGAATTAATTCTAAGAGCCCTACTGAGAGCAAATTATCTTTGAAAGTTCGTAGAACATTAAGTTGTCTGGACTTCAAAAGAAACATCGATCGCCATACTTTATGGGGGAATTTCCACAGGTAAAGTAAAAAAGTTAAAACAGACACATTACCATAACAGCCTTGAACGAGAAGCCAAGTTAACAAGGAGACTTGGCCGCGTCCAAATCACTTCGGTTGGAAATTACAGCTGAGAACGGCTGCAACGACTACCACGGACTCGTGCATGGGTAATTTGTAGCCACAGCCAAGTAATTCGGATAAGTCCATCAAGCAAAAATTAATTACATGAAAACGGCAACCAGATATATTCGCTTAGCAAATTGATGCACCTAGCAAGAATCAGGTGGGAACATACGTTCGTGCTCTAAAGCTCTGCGAAATTGGAAGTTGTACTGTGCTGTAACGTTTTACTGTTTCCTCGTATAAATGATTACATAATGTCTCAACTGTAAATCCTGGGCTTATGGACACAAGATAATTTGGGGTCGGATTCCAGTGGCTGTGTGTCAACCTGAGAAGGTGGTGTAAAAGACTTACACCATGTATTCAAGTTAAAACCACTCTCCGTAAGGATCTTCAGTAGGCACGACGTCAGATTGAAACCGCCGTAGTCGACACTGAGAATGGCGTCGGTCACCGCGTAGCCGTCGCGGACGGGCACGGCGTGCGAAGCGCGGTAGCCCGACTCGCACACGAGTCCGGTGGTTCGACCGGAGGCGTAGAGGGACAACACAGGCTGCATGGCCACGTAGATGGCAGGCGCTTTGAAGGTCTCAAACATGATCTATGAGTACATTACAGATCAACTTCTGTGAGTTCTAAATGAACATTTTTGCTTTAAACCGTGTAAATATCAATCTCTGTTGACAGGAAACATGTTCAAATCTCCAAACTGCTGTTATTTAAAAAAAGTCCTGATAAAACATGTTAACTTCAAATAGTTGGGGTAAAAACAGTGAATTAAAACTTTATACATATAACTGGATTCCATAAACGATACAAAGTAAGCCTGAAAAGAAAACACTATTCTAAAGTAGAACCCTCAGAGGAATACATTTAGTGTGTTGCAAAACGAGGAAAATCCCAGGCATCTTCAGTAGCACTAACAACTTTGTTGAGCAAAGTGACGTAACATTTTTTTCACCTGCGCCATCTTTTCCCTGTTGGCCTTGGGGTTCAGGGGAGCTTCAGTCAGCAGCACAGGGTGCTCTTCTGGTGCCACACGCAACTCGTTGAAGAAGGTGTGATGCCAGGTCTTCTCCATATCGTCCCAGTTAGTGACGATACCGTGCTCAATGGGGTGCTTAAGGGTCAGGATACCTCTCTTCAGCAAAGCTTCAGCGCCGAAGTACGTGTCCTTTAGGTCAAGTACATGTGTCTATTACAAAAAAAATGGAGACCTCTCAAAGACATTCTCAACACCCTATAAGAATTCAGGAGTGATACTTTGTCGGATCAGTAAAAGACACCCTTTGGCCACCACAGTGGGAAAACTTACAAATACATAATGAACAACTTTTCCAATGGGGCTTTGCATATGGATCGAAGCACCTTGTCTGCATGGTTACACCACTGAATGAACAAAGGAGGGAATGGGTGAGAGTGAGTGATTGAGCTCGAATGATCGAGTGGCTGGAGCGATTGAATAAGATGTTGAAGCAACTGCCTGTAAGAATCAGTGATGAACTAAGTTGACCAGCCCACTGGCTGACCAACCCAGCGACTGACTGATTCTAGAAGGCTGACTACCCAATACACTACAGCTGAGGTCGCACGCGTAATGCTGACCGAATGTGTGAATGACTGCACGTGAGCAAGCACAGGCAAACAAACGGCTGTGTAAGTATTAAATCAACTGTGTATATCTTTTTCTGCCTACACTGACAGTTTTAATACCTGGCTGATCGATCGATTCCAAACCGTCTGATTGATTGATTGGTTGGTTGAATTGGATTAGACTGAATTGTATTGGACTGAATTGTACTGGACTGAATTGCATTGGACTGGACCTGACTGTATTGGATTTGATTGGTTTGGATTGGAATGGATTGGTTTGGATTGGATCAAATCGGTTTGGATTAGATAGGATTGAATTGGATTGGAATGGATCGAATCGGTTTGGATTAGATTGGATTGAATTGGATTGGATTAGATCGGATTGGATGTACCCTCGCTTGTATTCTGCACTTTCTTTGAGGTTCTTTGGGAGATCAGTGAAGTTTTTAAAATCTACCTGTGCATACTGCAGCGTAGAATCGCGAGGTTTCCCGACGACGGTGCGGAACACAACCTTCGGCTCTTCATCTCCAGCCAAACCGGCCTTGATGGTACCAGAGCCGTTGTCTATCACCAGGGAGGTTGCTCCGTTATCGCCAGACATTTTGACAAATGCTTATCGTGTCACAAAAATGTCAACCTGAAGCTGTTGACATGTAACAAAAGGGAAACATCAAATAAAAGGTGAAATTACGACATAATTCGCAGACGGCGGACACATTGCTAACTCGGACACATATTTCCAGCTCGGACACATACATGTATTTCTAACTCAGACACATATTTCTAACTGGGACACATATTTCTAACTGGTACACATATTTCTAACTCGGACACATATTTCTAACTGGGACACATATTTCCAACTCGGACACATACATGTATTTCTAACTCAGACACATATTTCTAACTGGGACACATATTTCCAACTCGGACACATTCATGTATTTCTAACTCGGACACATATTTCTAACTGGGACACATACTTCTAACTCGGACACATATTTCTAATTTGGACACACATTTTTCTAACTGGGACACATTTTTCTAGGAACAATGAGCCAGTTCAGCATTTCAAAAAGTCGAGGTCTTTCGGGAACAAAGCACGCGCGCTAATTAGCGTATGCCTACGCTGATTGGACCAAATCATATGAGACGTTTTTTATTCTTTCGATATCTATGGACAGGACAGACTTATCGCGTGCGCGCGTAGTTGTTCGCGAGGTAGCTCTGTTGAAATATCGCTGGGACATTATCTTGTTTTAATAATTCGCTGTTAAATTAGTGATTTTGTTTACCTTTTAAGCACTACTGGAACCCTAAATTTTTGGAAATATAACCAGGGAAAGGCGATTTAGGGAGCTTATGCATTCCCCGAAATTTCAAGACTTACAACCCCTCAGAAAGAGACCACAAGGGCCACATGAAGAAATTCCAAAGATTCGGTTAGGGATATGCCCTCCCCATGCCTAGCCAAACACGCGACGGCGTGGGGAAAATGCGTGCACTAGTATACATACAACGCGTGGGGGCGCCATTCATTCGAGTATGAGGTTAAGACTTCCGGGTTGCCAAATCCGTGGCTCGAACCATGGAGGAAGGCCCTCCATACTCAAACGACTGCTGTCGGCGTTGAGTGGAAAAATTCTCTGCTGCCATAATGCACATAAACTATCCTGCGGCTTGCATTTTACTTATGAGACATTGAACGAGGGTTTAACGTGCCCTACTTTACGCCTACTGGTATTACTATTAGTCTTGTATTATAGCCATTTATTATATTAACCACTCAACGATCATACTAGGCTATACTACCTATTACTATATTAATACTACTAGGTCACAGGTAGGCTAATTGAACTTACTTGCTTGCACTTCCAGGTGGCCCGGTCTCGTCCTGTTCCCTGTCTGAACATACAGTGTACAGTTAGCAAGTTACTTCCAGCAGTGCCTTCGTGAATAACACGAGATGCGGCACAGACTGCCAGCCATCCACAAACGTAAACAAGCTCAATGCATAGTTAATAGGGGTGCGCGTGCCGGGGCGTGCCTACGTCCTAGCCATGTCATTTCGAGGATGTTATCGCTTTGTGCGCGTGCGCACCTGCACTCGGCCGGATAAAGTATGGAGCGCCAGTTGCGCTCATTGTACGACGATTGGAATTCATAGCAAATTTGCAAACTTCTTTTGCCGTCAACTGAAACATAAAAATGAGTGGAACACGGATTGCACACGTCACTGATTGACAATGATACGCTCTAACCATCAATCCAGAAAACCCTTTACAGTTTCTGAGTTACCTTATCAGCAACAACCATTTTCATCCTAAAAATTACACACAAAAAATATTAGGCTTCGGAAATGCATTTGAATATGTGATACATAAATTAAGGGATAAAGGAATAATTTTTGTACATTATGTTATTACCAGCAGAGTTCTAAGTTTTATTTTGGATGTAATAGGAACTAATACTCTCCCTTTCGACGGTGTCAACGATCTCGACCTAGAAAGTGGAGAAAATATTTCATTTGTTACAGAGATTATGACCTACAGTAATGCTGTGGTCAGTGGCGTAACTGGGCTTCATTTGGAAGGGAGCAATCAACTATATGTTTTTGGCGCTCGAGCCTTTTGTTATTCTATGTTTCACAAATCAATAATATCTTACTAACCTTCAACCACTTTATTGAACTATCAAAACTGAAATGGTAAAACCTTTGATTCTCAATATAGACAGGAACTGCGACGCGGTTGAAAGCACACTTCTCTTGTAATTCCCGCAAATATAACCTGAAATAAACTGTTCAGACGATAACGAGACTTTAAGAGCCTTCCGCAACTGCTTCAACAAAATAATGATTGAGAATAATGAATGAGGCACACCTACGTTATTCAACTCCCCAAATACACCAATTGAAAGGTCAAAAGTGATTATGTAATTAAACCCTGTCATGATGAGTGTGTTAAGGCTTAGTGTGTCGTAGTTCCATTCAGAAATGATAATTTTGTGTGTTAATGACACTTGGGCCAGACTCCTCGTAATCCTCCTTTGTAATGCATGACTCTTGGAAGGAGGACAGAGAGGCAATGATAGAGCCACCGATCCATACGAGGTACTTCCTCTCTGGGGGAGCAATGACGTTGACCTTCATGGTGGGCGGGGCACGGGCCACGATTTCCCTCTGCATCCTGTCACCGATCCCGGGGAACATGGTGGAACTACCGGCAAGAACGATGTTTTTATACATATCATGCCGAAATTCCCGCTCGCACCCAGTGATGCTCGTGGTTGTCACTTCCTGGATTCCCGGCTCATCTCTGCCGAGGAGGGCCGGCTGGAAGAGGGCCTCGGGGCAACGGAAGCGCTCGTTGCCGATGGTGATGACCTGACCGTCGGGGAGCTCGTAGCCCCTCTCCAAGGACGAACTGGAGGCAGCAGTCTGCATCTCCTGCTCGAAGTTCAGAGCAACGTAGCACAGCTTCTCCTTAATGTCTCGCAAGATGTCTCGCTGAGCTACAGAGTGAATCAGCGTGAAAAAACAACCGTTCTGCTTCTGTCTTCAGTATTCGCAAAATATCTTGGCAGGACACACCACCCCAATTCAATAGATTCTAAATAAAGAGGGACAAAAGACTTCAAGCCACAATGCTCAAACCAAAATCGATCACTACAAGGTCCTAAACCATGCAACCATCAATGGCGTTCAGTGCTAGTCCAGCCTCTTTTTCGGTAATGACTGCGTTCCCTTCCCTTCCCTTAATGGAGTGTGCACATGTGGATTTGAGACCTAGGCTAATCCAAATCAGGCAGACAGGGTAACAATCCCCTCCCTCACCAAAGAAAGGCAGAGAAAAATAAAATAGACTGACTACAAATCAATTCTGTGTGAAGGGTTTGTAACTGCGACCGAAGCTTTCGTGACTCATTCAGACGTCCAACTTAAAACAATGCAGTATACGGAAAACTGTGATGACAACTTACTGGCAATGTTGAAGTCGTAACCGCGTTCGGTGAGCATCTTCGCCAAGTGATCGGTCAGGTCTCGGCCACCGATATCGCAACGACGGGTGACACTGGGCAGCGGATAACCTTCCAGGATGGGAACAATGTAAGCCACGCCGCCACCAACATGGACCACGACGCCGGTGGAGCGATTGGAGGCGTACAGGGCCAGCTTCGGCTTACTAGCCACGAAAAGGGCGGGTATGTTGAAGGTCTCAAACATTATCTAGACAGGGATTGCATCATACACGTCTGTATCACAGCTTGCCTCATTCTGTTCTTTATTCGAGTAGTTATTACAGGCTTTATTCAGCAGATGACTATTTTGGTAGGTGCTTCCCGAATCAACTTTATTGACTGAACACTCTTAAAATTGCATGGAGCCAGACTATTTACTATATAGATACTGATAAACCATCACTTGTAAAAAATATTTGAACAGAAGTGACACGATATTGCGGCAATAATTTGGATGCAATGTATGGTTTGCCAATTACTTCATCATGATTGTTCCACAAAACAAAAATTTAACAAAATCTGCAGAGGTTGACTCGGTTTTGAGTTCAAGACGCCGACTTGTGAAAAAAATGAAAGCCAATGAGTGACTTTAATCGACCCAGTCGTACTTTCGGTTTGCATCGTCGGGGGAACGAGTTGCTAGACATTACCAATCACCTCTGTCGCCTTCTCCCTGTTAGCTCTGGGGTTCAGGGGAGTTTCAGTCAGCAACACAGGGTGCTCCTCTGGTGCCACTCGCAGCTCGTTGTAGAAGGTGTGATGCCAGACCATCTCCATATCGTCCCAGTTAGTGACAATACCGTGCTCAATGGGGTAGTTGAGGGTCAGGATACCTCTCTTACTCAGGGCTGCATCTCCAACGTAGCTATTCTTTTTTCCCACGCCAACCGAAAAACTCTGTTCAGGAAAGTACAAAATGTCAAACATCAACAGTCTACATGCAGAAGCTACGGGAGCAAATTCGGAGGAGGGGGCTTACAGTGCATTCCTGTAATACTTGAGGCTGCCTCGTTGTTTGTCGCCAAAGTAGGCAACCTCTAATTTAAAAGCTCTCCACAGATTACAAGACACATGGGACAAATAAAGACTATGTTTCCTTGATTAGTCTCCTGTCAAAAGCGAAACTTATGGGCTTTGAATTCACGCGGAGCACGCTGAGTACGCGTAACGAATTTATTCTTGTCCGGTTCGACGTCACTTCAGTTTAAACCCCGGCCACTGCACACGCACTGCACATATACTAGATTTAAATGCATTGATCGCAGTTTACATGGAACCGTGGAACCGGAAGTTAACACCCAACTTCAGCGATTGTCTTTATCCTACACGCAGAACGCGCGTAAGAACTCGCTTAGAAAACCTACAACCCTCTGTCTCTCTTTTGCCGCTTGGGGGTGCCTTCAACTTCGAACAGATAGAGACGGAATGAACTGTTGGAATTAACTGGCTCTCTGCCGCCGCACAGTCACGCCTGGCGATTCTCTTTTTGGAACAATATTTTCAAGTCAAATGGTGAGGAAAGTTTTTGCATTCATCCGTATGAAAGGAGGTAAGTAAGGTTCGGTAACGAGTTAAACTTAACAGAATTACGTGAATATCTTTCTATTGCACAGGGTAGGATATGACAATAAGATAAGAGAAGGGGAAAAAGGAACAACAAACAAATTGCAAAGAGAAAGAGAATTAGATTTAGATTTTTAAACACGAAGAAATTTCACCTGATGTTTTGGCCTTCCAACGACCGTTGGGAAGGAGACTCTAGGGGTGTCATCTCCCGCGAACCCGGCATAGGTCACCGTGGAACCGTTTTCGAACAATACGGGCAAGGACATTCTTATTGCTGAACTTTCTTGGCAAACTCAAACCGCCTGTGTACACAGAAACATATGGCAAAGTGGTTGGTGACTGTCTTAACTGAATTTTTTTGGGTCTTTTTTCATTTTTTTGATACAATTTTTATATTTATATATATTTCTATATTTTATATGAAAAAGAATCCCACTCAGGATGGGAACAAGCCAGTTTATACTGGCAAGATGGAACAGGTGTCTAACACCACTACAGGGCCATCCTACCACTCCAGATTTAGCGTGGAACCAGAAATTTCCCAAAATTGGAAGGTCCAGAACCAATCAGCCCTGAAATCAGAAAAAACTTTGTTTTGAAAACTGCACCTGTCACAAAAACAAGCCGACTGGTTAAGAAGCAAATCACAAGAAGAAACACAACCTCAATCTGAACGCCATTCGGTCTATCTACTGAAAAAGCTAACAGAAAATTAAAAGAACTCAACCCGTCGAGCGACAAGTTAGTCGATTGCCTACTGCAATCGGTTTTGAAGTGTAGGGAGTGTGAATGCTGCAGATGAATGAATAGTCCTGATTTATATACCAATATTTTAAATTAGTCGAAAGCCGAAAACCACTATCTCTCCTTTCAGACCAGTTAAAGGAAAGTGTATCGAGTGAATTCTCGGGGAACAAAGTGATACTCACGACCAGTGGAGGTCTCGCAAACGGTCTTCAGACTTTCTCTAACGAATGTATAAACGCAGGTGAGCTCGGAGACAGTCCGTTGAAGGCATTTATTTACATCTGATGCCGGCGCAGCGTGTCAACTCCGACCAGCAACTACCCTGACAGTAATTACCAATTCTTCTCATGCTATCGTTTATACTTTTAAATTACTGTTGAATATCTGCTTGACGATGATCAATGTCCGGGGTCACTGGGAAAAGGGAGAAAAGATGGGCCAATACTATCGGGGCCGACACTACAAAGCATAGGACAAAACGGGGTCCTCGAAATTGTTGTATTTTTTGCAGGAGAGTGAGGCATCAATTTTCGAATTGGCAATAGGCTTCACAACTGCTTCAAGGATGATCTTTTCTGGGGAGAAATATCTTCAGAAGTTATCGGTTAAGCCCCCAAAATTGTAAGGAAAATGAAACATATGTATCTGAAATGAGCTTTGATATGTGTGGTACTGAGAAATTTGTATTTTTCCTGGAGTGGTTTTTTTAAGGGGGGGGGTTCATCATCGTTTTCTAGGGCACCTTTTTTTTTATAGTGATTTGCAACCTCATTCCCAATTTTTAATGGAGATAGTGGTTATCCACTTAAGGTTACCTCGTCTTCACAGGTTACTTTGTTCCTATATTTACACGGGAGCATACTGTTTGACACCACGGAAGAAACGAGATTGCAAAGTAAACTTGTCCCGTAGTCACTAAAAACGCACAAACTTGATAATTTCAACTCTTTATGCATTGGGAGACATCTATTCGGCATGTATAAATAACTTTCATGAAAACCCAGACCAGGTATTTGCAATTAAAATTTAAAAAATTAGAAATGTACGATCATAAAGTACATTGAAGTTCTGTATCGTAAAGTTTAAGACAAGGTCTGAAGAATTTTAAATCAGTACCATTAAAAACCTCGAAGTTTTGAAGGTCCATGCGATGGAAGCGTAGACAGGGTTTTTAGCCTAGTTTCTCCATTGTTACGTTTACTTTCAATCTTTTTGTAATGCACAGGTGTTGATTTGACACCAATGTGACACCATGGGTTTTGCAGTGTAAACCCTCCAGCTTGTTGCACTTCTCATCGACTGTGAAGTGTGCCGGTGAGCTGAACTCGGCCTAGCAAACGTCCCCCGATTTGCGGGGGATAAGTGGTGGGTGATCGTTGGTATTGACAAGAAGGAAGCATACATTCTGTCTAGAAAGTTTCCTTTAACAACTCAGCAGACTTAATTTACCGTAAAAGTTTTTTAAAACATCTTTTTCCAAGATTGTCGGAGTGCAAATTTTTCAGGAGTTCAGCTTTTAGGAGTTTTTAGAGTCACTCTTTGCGGTCATTTTGACACCATTTTTGCAAACATCGAACATGATGTGTTCGCGCAGAGCCAAAAATGTATATTTTTTTCCACTGCGGTGCTCAATGCACGGGTGTAGCCATGAAATGACCATAGCAAACCACACGTCCTACTGAGTTCAAACTTCACATTTGTAATAATATTAAGGAGTGTGTATACAGCATGCTAAGTTTTTAAAAAAATTGGGCGTTGCACAGCCGAGTTCTTAGAGGGAAGGGCGGCGTCCGCCGCCACCCTCCAGCGACTGTGAGATGGGCCAAAAAAACCCAGCTCAATTAACTCGCCAACAAAGCGTTCTCAGTACAATGCACGTTATTAATGAGACTCACTAAAAAGGCAATTTAACATTTAAAAATAATCAGTAATTAAGTAGCAAACCGGGCCTTCATGGACTTACCATCTGCTCGCAGATTTTTAACGGGGCAAAATGATCATGGGCCTGCCGTTGAGGAAATACGTGTTGCTGAATGTCACAAATATGGAAATAAACTGGCGGTATCATGCGCCAGCGCACACCAGCCATTTTGGTTCGAAGTGTGAGGTTGGCGCTACTCAGTCTTTAACATGTACTTCTCCGGGTCTCCAACATGAGGAGTGTTTTCCAAACAACACCGAACTTGAATGACATGAATAGAATGGACAGGAAGGGAGCTTGCAGGATTCTGAACAGTTTTCCATGTTATTTTGTCTCTATTATTGTTTTTGGTTTAGTTTTGTTAAGGCATCTACATAATAAGCCCTCGGCTTCGGCAGATGTCTCCATAATTGCAGACGAATTTATCGTTCTTTCTTCACCCCAACCTTTTTCGATATGTTCAATATAAACTACATGTATATTTCATTTTTTTACCAGTTGGAAACTCATTATGGAAATGAATGTTGCTTGATTGATACGTCTACAGCATGATTGCGTCTCTTCCATAAGCCAGGTATGAGGGCGCTCTAATATATTAAAAGGGACGCTTGTTTTGGCAATTAGAACAGTAGGAAGACTGTGAGCGCGAGGGCGCTGTTAGTTCGATGCTGGGTCAAATTACTTTTTTCTCCTTTCATATGGCCCCATCCAACCTGCACCACACTGCTGTAGGCCTACTTTTTGTTGCCAGGGAACCAAGGCTTTAAAATGCTTTAAATTGGCAAGTGAGCCATCGCTATTTGTAAACGGTTTGGATGTGGGATCAGACTCCACGTACCAAAAATGAAAGATGTGGAGAGCCGCTTTACATAGAACCCCTGACCTTCAACAGTGCTTTTATGCAAATTTTCTCAAGTCGAGTTACATTTGCTTATAGCAGTTTTCCCTCGAGTAGCCATGTCAAAATTTACACGACACATCGGTTACTTCCCACCCAGAAACACTGAAAAATGATCAGTTGTAAATTCACATCTGACCTCATTTCTCTTTCAAATTGCATGCAAAATTCTGCTTACCCACATCAAACACAGCAACACTTCAAAATGAAGGACATCCGGTGTTCTTCAATTTACAAAGAAATTACAACTTTTTATTTTTTGGCCTTAGCAACTTTCTCACTAGAAGTCAAAAAATAGTACACAAACCAACAAATTGCCCTCACCAGTAACAAAAATTACTTTTATCTAAATATACAAGTTTTTTTTAAGTTATAAAGAAAAAACTGCGGCGCTGGGAGTCCTCCCGATTCATAGCTTCAGATGTTTCAACAGCCCCAAGTTCATTTCCTATGGGGGCATGTCCCACAGGGGCTAACCATTTCTAATTCACTTCATGTGAATTACCACAGCCCATGCAACCGTTGAAGCAACCATTATAAACAGCCGCGCTAGAAATGCCAAGGATGGAAACGGACATTTCAGTTAAGCTTTAGTACCAATAGAACAAAGTACCGCCTCGAAAGGATAAGATTTTCCAAGTTTAGATTGGTGTTAGTTTAACATTTTTGGGCCTGTATAGTTTGAGGCATGCATACACGTCAAATGAACAGGACAGTTTATGTGCGCTTGAACAAAATTTTAGGCACAAAAATGAGTTGACATTGATTATAGCAAGTTAACGTGGAAAGGTTTTTATGGAGCAAGTCTCCATCATGATAGCGAGACTTGAAACCCGGTCTGTTCTCAGTCTTTGGTTAGGTTTTTACTGTCCGTTTAGAAGCACTTGCGGTGCACGATGCTAGGGCCAGACTCGTCATACTCCTGCTTGCTGATCCACATCTGTTGGAAGGTGGACAGAGAGGCAAGGATGGAGCCACCGATCCATACAGAGTACTTCCTCTCTGGTGGAGCGATGATCTTGATCTTCATGGTGGGCGGGGCCAGGGCCGTGATTTCCTTCTGCATCCTGTCGGCGATGCCGGGGAACATGGTGGAGCCACCAGACAGCACGGTGTTGGCGTAGAGGTCCTTACGGATGTCCACGTCGCACTTCATGATGCTGTTGTACGTGGTCTCGTGGATGCCGGCGGTTTCCATTCCGAGGAAGGACGGCTGGAAGAGAGCCTCGGGGTCACGGAAACGCTCGTTGCCGATGGTGATGACCTGACCATCGGGAAGCTCGTAGCTCTTCTCCAGGGAGGAGCTGGAAGCAGCAGTCTGCATCTCCTGCTCGAAGTCCAGGGCAACGTAGCACAGCTTCTCCTTGATGTCGCGAACGATTTCACGCTCGGCTGCAAGGACAAAAATGAACATCCATGAGTTTACCAACTTTGACAATCACTTTAGCAGATTCACTAACAGCCGTCTTGCACTTCGAACGTCATCAAACAATGGATCATTAACTTACCAGTGGTGGTGAAAGAGTAGCCACGCTCTGTGAGGATCTTCATCAGGTAGTCAGTCAAGTCACGGCCGGCCAAGTCCAGGCGGAGGATGGCGTGGGGCAGGGCATAGCCCTCGTAGATGGGCACAGTGTGGGACACACCGTCACCAGAGTCGAACACGATTCCGGTGGTACGGCCAGAGGCGTACAGAGACAGCACGGCCTGGATGGCAACGTACATGGCGGGTGTGTTGAAGGTCTCGAACATAATCTGGAATTAAAAGAGGCAAATAAACTGCAGTCAAAACCGACATTTCAAAAGACTGACATAATTCGAGAAACACTTGACGTTACCATTAAATACAGATACTGAAATAATGTGAAGTTATTCACCTGTGTCATCTTTTCCCTGTTGGCCTTGGGGTTCAGGGGAGCTTCAGTCAGCAGCACAGGGTGCTCTTCTGGTGCCACACGCAGCTCGTTGTAGAAGGTGTGATGCCAGATCTTCTCCATATCGTCCCAGTTAGTGACGATACCGTGCTCAATGGGGTACTTGAGAGTCAGGATACCTCTCTTGCTCTGGGCTTCATCTCCAACGTAGCTGTCTTTTTGTCCCATGCCAACCATGACACCCTGGTAAAAGAACAAACAACATTTAAAATTAAAATAATTTGAAGAATAATCATGTTTCACTTTAGATTTAGGTTTCATTTCTTTAGATCCATGTTCTGTGGGCAATTTTGGTAAAACTTGCCTGGTGGCGTGGTCTTCCGACGATAGAGGGGAACACAGCCCTCGGGGCATCGTCTCCAGCGAATCCGGCCTTGCACATACCGGAGCCATTGTCTACAACCAAAGCGGCAACATCGTCGTCACACATTTTGTAAGATTTGTTGTTTCAGTCACAACACGAAAAGCTGTGGGGCAAAAACAAATTTGAATAATTATCTATTACCTGAAGTACTACTATAATCTTTGAAATTCATTACAGGCCTTTCGGTAGAAGGAAACAAAATACGGAACAAAACATGCTTAACCCTCCTCAATCCTTCACCTGTTGGAGGACTGAGGAGGGTTAGGGTTAATAAAATGACTTCAGAATTGAATGAAAAAATCCTAACGGCGAAAGAAAATCTGGCTAACATTTTGTATACAGGGAAAGCAGAGACGGGATACACAATGCTTTTTGTCCGAGGGCTCGTTTAAATTCGTAGAGCACTGTGTATAAGTAATAGCCAGGATTCAAGGAAGTCAGCCGGGCGCGACCGCGAGCTGAAACATGCCCAAATAAGGCCATCGACAACGCCCCTCTATGAATATTCTATTTATCCTAATCATGTGCAATATGACAGCCAATGAGGATGCACCACACTGCACCGCCGCGGGGTGTGTCTCGTCAGATAGCCACGTGCTCAGGGAAGCCGGTACAGGTGGCAGATTTGAGCTTCGCTACACGCGCTCGCTAAAGAGTGCCAGAGAGGGGCGTTGGCGACGTTCTATGTATCCAAGGTAGATTTGGGGTATTTTCAACGATCCTAGATTTATTCAGCAAATTTAAATCAGAACAAGTTTCCAGAATCAGAATCAAGATTAAATCTCTCTAAAAGGTTTTGTTCTTTACATTTAAACTGAAATTTAAATAGTGCTGCAAACTTAGACCTAATAAGCAATTTCACGGAGCGTAAATCAAGATGGTTACTCCAAGAAATTTAATTTCTCTGTCTGTGGGAAGCAGGGCCGTGAGGGCATGAGCTGCAGGGCCAGAAACGTATCAAATGAGTCATGGCCGATGTACGATTCTGTGACAGCACACTAATCAGAATGATCGATGGTGGGTGAATCGTGCAATAACATTACAATTCAGGCATCAGGTATAATAGGAAATACAGTCTGATCAAATACAAATCTGCGACATGGAACAGCTCTGGAGCAATCTATTCACAAAATTCATTAAATTTTAACACCGTCAGACAATACTTCTCAAAACGCAAAATCATTTCACTTGTTTCAACCTCAGTTGATTCATGGTTGATTCAACTCAGCACAAACATTGGGAACAATTCCCGTTTAAGCACATTGTGTTTAAAGGATCCTCGACCCAGAGATGCACCACAGTTTTACTGCATGAAACATGTAATACAACGTGAAACATGGAAAAAGACTCACCAAGTGTGCAAGATAGGTTCCCCGAGGTGTGTCCGTTCGCAGCGCTCTAGACTTGGCAGAATAACAGGTGGGTGAGAAAGCCGCCTTTAAATATATGCGCGGCTAGCGCACCACGTGAACACGCGATAGCCAAGCATCGCCTTATTTGGTCACAATTTCGTGCAGCTGATTTGCATAAACATACACAGCCTTGTTGTGCTTTAAAGAATACCGTGGACAACAGCCTTTGCGATAGGCCAGCGATTGGTTTGGGGGCGGGTTTAGTCATCGAGGTCCAGCTGTGGTCGCGCGATACCTGTGCCCCCCTTGATTCTAATTTTCCCTGAAGGTTGTAATGCTGGGGAAAAATGTGGGCGTATTTTTTTTTATCATTTTTACAAGGAAATAGGTAAATCCTAACAGAATCAAGGTGGTTGGCAGTTTATGCATAAATAAAATGATTTCCCTTTGGAAAGAAAATTCTAAAGTGTTTGCATGATGCATTCCTTATGCAAAATACTTCTTGAGTTTGAACATGCACACTTCTTTTAGACATTTTTGAAATATTAAAAAAATAGACTTGATTGTGACCCCTGAAGTTAAAAACAAAATTCACTCGACTTGCATGATTCACACTCCTTCGAGTTTATGTCTGACTGAAGTTAACATCATTGCGAGTGCAGTTGCAGATTTCAAAAATTTGAATGTAAGCAAGAAGATGAATGCCCTCGCATTTTCTCATTCAGACAATTGTCGAGGTAAAAAGTGGGATCAATACTTTCCAACGGGCCTGTCGTTTGTCAAACAACTGGTTTTGTGCAGGCCCAATTATGTTCCAAGTTTGTGAAACGTTTTCATTTGTTAGTTTCTATGCTGTTTCCTGTACCATCGATGACAATCCACCATTAATTAATAGGGTAATTTTCAACAGACACAAAGCGTTTGACAGAGCGAATAAGACCCACGTTCCGAATTGATTCTGAAATTAATCTCAAATTTTCCCCACTAATGCACGTCTTATTTTTTTTTACTGCTAATGAAAGATCTCAGGATGAGAGTTGTAAGAAGGACATTGTTTTCAAGACTGCAGCTACATTTGATGTTTTAAACGTGAGCAGTGCTACATGTATCAGGAAATTGCAGAAATGGAGCCGGTGTTTCCTGAAAACTGCGAAATGTATAGCTTGTTTTTGCTGTTTACCTTAAGTGACAAACATGTAAAATTGGAGATTTTTTCCCACGAACAAGGTGAAATTTACCTGGACACAAAAAAAATTAGTTTACTTTCTCGGGTGGCGTGAACCCGTTTCCTGCCAAACCAGGAACTGCAGGAAGTGGCGGGTTCCCATCTAGAAAGACAACCCCTTTAAAACGCTCAGCGTCCGGCTACAGGATACGCGAAGTGGGATCTGTTTAAAGGGACTTTCATTACATGATCAGTCAACACGCAGTTCGTGTAACTTGACTAAAATGTAACGTACATGTACAATGTACTGAACATGTACTTCCACAGTACTAGGGCAATCCATGATGCGCGAGATTGGCCTTCTTGTACATGTAGGTGTGCAATTGATGTTATCCACAATATCTGTTCCACATCTGCACTATTCCACAGTCATGATATTCTGGTGTAAAAATGGAAGGTTTCATCTTGAAGTTTTGTATATGTGTGTGCAGATTTTGTGTACGTCCCCGCTTGGGCAGCAAGATGGAGCCGGCTAGTCATCAGCTTTTACATGTACGGTCCTTGATCTAGGTCGTGGGTTCAACCTCACTTTGAATGGAAGTAATTACTAACATGGTCCATGTCCTCGGCAATGTGATCACGTGATTTCAAACGTACACGAACCACCTTTCAATTTACATCACTCACTTGACCATGTTTGGTCTGTTCTGAGGCTGACAAACCATGGAAGAATGATGGACAAACCCAGTATAAATATGGTCACGATTCATTCTCGTAAACACCCAATAAATATTCATTACAGAAGAGAATACGATTACAGTCACCGGTCACAGTTTGCGTTACCACTGGAGGAAAAGGCATGGGGAGTGGTGTTTGGACGGAGCAAGTACCGTTAACCAGGAAACAGAAATAAAATACCAGAACAGCTTTACCCATTGAGCGTCTATTTTGCCAAGAAAAACCGGCATTGGAAACTAAATAAAAAGTTTAAGGTGTGGCATGCATGTACATGTACATGTACAGTACATGTGCATATAGTACATGTATGGGTGCATGTACAGTATACTATAGTACAATGTGCATGTACATGTGCATTGAGCGCTTGGAAGTATTCAGGGCTTTTTTAAAAAGAATTTTATTGCAATTTGTGTATTTTTGTGTAATTAGCGCAGTGTACATGTATCTTATTTTTAATGAGGATTGAGATTATTTATACCTTTAATATTGCATGTTAATTATTTGTACAAGCAGCTGATAATTAGTGTCTTGTTTATTTTCGTTAATAATTATATGTAATTTCTTTTCTTTTTTTCTGATAGCATCTTAGGAGAGCCACACGATATTAAGTTTGCGTCTTGGAAATCTCTCAGGGGTGTTATCAGTTTGCATTGTGTTCTGTGTTAAGTTTATTGTCTATGTCTTGATAAATGTACCTGAGAAATAATAAATGAAATGAAATTTACATGTACATGCCCATACCATGGAGGGGTCTAACTTGCTTATTTTACTGCTGCGGATAATACAAGCCCTTGTTTACCGCCAGTTCAAACCACGGTCTTCCAGTCACCCCTCCTGCCTCACTTGGTGTCAAATTACAGGGTTCATGGACGTGGTAAAGCTACCAAGTTTACTCCCAAAGCAACCTGTCTCGATCTGCGGCAGTCTGGCCGCCGTTCAAGACGGAAATAACGATCGAAGGGTCAGGTCTATTATGCTGGGACGTGTTCCTCGACTTCATTTTTGGAAACTTACACTGCGCGGTTGGCACTAAAAGTTTTGAGGGTTGCAGCTCGCAACCTTGGCCCGTATTATAGCCTTTCCATAGCCACCCAAAAGACATGCAATTTAATACTGAAGCAGGTTTTAAACATATAGGAGTTGAATTTGTTATACTTGTTGCATCCCTGGTGCAAAATCCGTGATATCGGGAAAACGCTGAACTGCAGGGTTATGACCTATTACAGTTGATGAAGTTCTTTTCCTATACCTCCATGTCTTCTTGAACAAAATATCCCACATTAGGTAGCCATTTCTGTGCTAAGCATGCAACTAATTGAAAAGCACTTTTTGGACCAGAAAATGTCATTTTTCTGTCGATATCCACTGAACATGGAGTCTTTCGCTGTTAATTTTCAACTGTTTCCCACATGCACGAAAATAATGGACTGCCGACGCCCAGTCTGTTCAGAAAAATCTCTAAACAGGCTTACTTTTTGACTAAAACGCTGGCCGCCATGCATGGTTAGTGTAATGGTTCAGTATGGTGTGTAACTTCTCGTGGAGGATACGTTTCGGTAGGATGGTCATGATGTGGCCATGGTGGCCTCCTTTCAGCAATGTCAGCTGGGTGGGGGCCGAATCAGACTCCATAATGATTATAAGTGTTGACATCCAGCAGCCAACAGTGGGTGCAAACAATTTATAAGTTGGGGGAGAAACTAACCCTTTTGGGTGTTAACTAGTCACCTCGGAATGCAACAATCACGCAGTCTGCCCTAGTTAGAAATTAAAATGCCGAGTGTGACGTGTACACGATGATGTTGATAAAGCGAGAGAAGAGATTGCATTCGATCCTGAAATTTGCCATGTTTGGTAAAATAAACTCGAAACCGATCCCAAGCTCCCGCAGGGCCCGGTCTACTACATTTATAGCTCCAGGAAGTCGGTGGCATTTAAATGCAAATGGATGTTGACATATTCGGAACTAATAATCCATATATCTCCATTCATAAACAAGCGATATGGCGCCATTGATGTCAGCGTCAATACGGCCCACCCTTAACCTTTGCACTGCGTGGACGATAATCTTCATGATAAAAACTCATCGGGGACACTTTTAATTTACGGTGGGGTTACTCCCATTCAAAGTCAAACGTCATGTTTGTCGCATCCGCTGGTTCGGCAGAACTCAGTCCACAAGGCAACCGCTTTTCAGTCCTGTAGTGTAGTTTATTCTGCAGGGTTAGGTCAAATCTCAAATTCTGTACAATTAGATTAAGCGGTATGAGAATTGTTGAACCATGGAGGAAGGAATAGACGGCGAGGTTCTGAAGGGGAACTTGAGTCATTCGCATAAAATGAATGTATGCACATTTGGTCTAGACTATGGGATCAAAAAATTTCCACCACAGAAATGTCTCTCACAATTGCAGATGACGCCAACCACGGCTGCACAATGTACACGTACAGTACTTGTACATGTACATTGTACAGTCATGTACTGTACATGTACAGTACACAATGTACAGTACATGTACAGTACATGTACTGTACATGAAGGCTCTGTATTCGAAGAACGTGGACCGAAATCTCACTTCCGCATTCTTCAGAACGAGAGTCCTTCCCACAATCGACCTCCATTGACACTAATGACAGCCAAGCCGCGCATGTGCTGTACTGACAAATCGACCACTTGTCGGATTCAGTATTGGTTGCAATGTACCGTGCCACGATAGATTTTTGGCACTTTTGGGGCAAACGCCGAAGGTATAGTGTGAATTGTGCGTGAAATAAACCTTGCCTGTCAAAGTTTGCTTTCACGACTGGATAAAAAATTGAAAACTTGTTATGTGAAACACTTTTGTAGTTGTCGAGAGTGTTTGGTCACCAGGCTATATAACCGAGGTTAAATACTGCATGCCGACAAGGTGAACTGACGAGACTTCAAAACATTCATTATTTCTTCGTGGTGGCTGGGTGCGTGCAGATTTCACCTCAACAGGGCCGCAGAAAGGTCACTGAGTATTAAAAACGTGCACCCTCTCTGACAAAAATGACGGTCGCCAGACACAGCCGCCTCAGGAGAATAAGGAGAATGGTGGGTTAGTTCCGGGGTGATAAATCGTGGCTTTGGTGCCTGCTACAATAATTGTTGGGCTCATCATGGAGCTATAAATGGGCTCATTGAGAGCGTTCAAAGTGGCTGATTAAGGGGAAATACCACCTGCTTTGTGATGACGAAATGTTGGCATTGTGCTTCGGGTGAAGAAATCAACCACTGTGTCCAGTCTTTGTACAGCATACGCTGTGTATTATGTACATGTACATTGAACATGTTTTTAGCACACACTTGCACTTGATCATGATAAATGAGGTCTTTTACGTGTTTCTGAGCCACAGGGGACTTTATGTTTAATTTTTTTTCTTACAAAACAAATTGACTTTCTAAAAATAGCTTTTTACAAAAATGTTTTCAAATCACTGATATTTCATACAGAATCTAATACATGTATTAATAACAGATAAAGCAGTGGTGTTCTCACCAATACAAGGAAATGGGTATACAGCATGAAAAAATTCACATCTGATATGCCAGCAACCAAACTGAAAGGAAACCAAAGAATAGAAGATATTTTAGGAATAAAGTAACCATTAGACCTTCAGAAACATCGTATGTAAGCCAAGCCAGCCTGGCTGTGTGACTGTGAGATATTTCCAGATATGGACAAGTACAACGGGGTTCTTCATGAACTCAGCGTAAGGATTTTTTCGCAATAAAATAATTCAAAGAATCCCATTCGGCGAATGACAAGCTGCGACAAAGCCATCTCCTGGGTGTCATTAAATCTTCATGGTGCAACTATACATACGGACTTTATTTTCAGCAATATTAAAGCATTAAAATATTGACAACATGTGCCAGTTTCCATGGACAGCCTTCACAGGCCAGACCACCGAGCCCACGGGCAACCCCCTTCAGTGACGTCACCATACCAGGCCGTTGAATAATCGGGCGTGGCTTGTGGTCGGGGAGAGCACCGCGCTGTTTGCATAATCCTAACGGCCAATAAAAAATGACAATGAGCTGGGCCTGTTGGGTGACGTCACCCAGTTCATAACCTATGACTAGCCGGGCCCCTGGTGGTGATTCACCTTATCTACATAAATCAGTGGACAAATTTGGGCATGGTCTCTGGCAAGAATTTTCGGCCAAATAAGTAATCAGCAGCCTGCACATGTATTTTATACACGTACAAACTACCTCACCTTTCCTTGGACTCAACATCTCCAAGTCATTTTGGACTGAAGAGCACTTTGTATGCCTTGCGTTGTTATTTCGGCGAGTGGTTGTACTCGATCGTTTTGGCATTTAAGAATAACTGGAACTCAGTGGCTTTTTGCCTCCTTATGTATAAGACTTCACGATTTAACTTCACAGTTTCAAAATGAACCACATGACCCCACGGCAAGTCCTACGATCATCCGACTTACGCTCGCTGTTTACTCAGTGAAAGACCATGGATAGTGGCCACCCCCCTCCAACAAATTGACGACAGGGAGATCTTGGGGAATGTTTCCTGACGGTTGCTCTTTTAAAAATGCACAATGCAACCCCTAACCTCATTTGTTGGCGGAAATAGTGTGTCTCTAACAAGAAGTACCCACAAACATTAGTTTTCATTATTCTTTAATAAAGAAAACAAGGCTAAGTGGCATTTTACAATCAGGAGAATTACAAGGAAGAAGTTGGGAAGCACACGGCCAGTGCAGTGTGCGGGACTGGGAAAAACGGACTAGCAGACGAAGGCATGCTGTGTTCAGACTTGTACATGTACACCTCATCTTTCCTTAACGAGGAAACATGGCAGATTCAACTACTGTTTGTGGGGCTAACGATGGACTCTCTCGACTGTTATTCTTTTTTTCTTTAAATTGTCCGCTTCAGATCCAACAATGTTTCCTCCTCAGCCTCCAACAACTTCAAGCTGGGACGGTTATGTTTCGAAGCTGGAGACACTTGTTTTTTTCCCCTCAAATGTCAAACCGGAGACGCTCGGTGTCATGAATGATGAATGATTCCGGAAAATGACAGGCGTTGTGTAATTAAAGGAGAAGTACTGGGCACCGCCCCTCCTTGTCGCCGACTGACATCCCTCAAGGCTTAAGGCAGAATTACAGGGTGTTACATTTTACCTTCAAGATGGTGTCCATGAAGGCCTCCATCTTGAAGATGATCACTAAAAAAAACTCTTAAATTACAAACTAATAGCAAAAAACGATTTAATAAACTACATCGTTAGTGTTCTTGGAGCCAACCTGTGCATTTTGTAAAAACACATAGCCTACTCATGTTCAGTGTACATGTATACAGTGCATACGATCTGTTAGATTTTAACTTGAATCGTAATTTTTCTTGTGTGCACGAGATCTTCGTTTCTTAGTGTGGCCCCTTCCATCATAAGTAGTATAATGATTACCGCCAACGGGTCATTAGGGAAACCATTCCCATAACAACGTGCAAAAATTTTTCCAACTGTGCTGTCCCATAATTCAATATTCCCTAATCTGATCTTAACCAAAGTTTGCATGTTTTCATTTTAGACCCTTATGTATCATCTCTCATATTGTGGACAGTAAATTCGGCCTCCTTCTGGTAATTGGAGCATTAGGGAGACATTTCCCTAATGACCAATGTCTCCCTAAGGTTAAAAAATTTACCACAAAGTGTCTCCCAAATGACCTATTTGTGATAATGGGATTTTTTGAAGGAAAACTGAACAAAGTCAGAAAAACCCGAGAGGAGACGATCAACATAGTCGCCTTCCTGTACATTTTCAATGGCACGCTCAGGCTTCTTGCCGCCAAGGTCATTTGTGCGCACGCGTGCATACTGCATAAATAAGAATGTATTCGTGACGAGGTCTATACCTGGTGTTGTAGGCTTTTTTGCATACACACATCTTGAATTTTAATGCAAATTCCATGGTTAAATCATAACACGTGCCGGGAAAACCAGAATTCATTCTCTTCATTTTTCTACTATTTTGCTATAAAGTTTCTCGATTCGAATAATACAGGCAAACATTCTAGTGGTTTAGGATGAATCAGTACTTGGATGGGAGACCACCTGGGAATGGGCCATGACCCCTACAAGGACTTATATCCCGGGTAGAGCAGGATGCCCGATCACCGCCGATCACCACCTTTGCATCCAGGTGTTGTAGGCTTTTTGCATATACATATTTTGAATTTTATTGCCAATTCCACGGTTAAATCATAACACGTGCAGGGAAAACCAGAATTCATTCTCTCTCTCTCTTTTTTTTTTTACAATTTTGCTATAAAGTTTCTCGTTTCATAATAGTAGTTTGGGATGAATCATTTCATGTGTAAAAACCAATCGCAACACAAAATCATGAGTGGATTAAATGTCTTCAACTCAACTGCCTTGGCTGTTTCTTTTGATGTGAACATAGTAAAGATTGACATTAAATGTGCAAAGATTAGTCATATGGTTTATTGGATAATTTGATAAATACACAGCATGAAATGAACTAAGTGATCGAAACGCAAGGTTCTTAATAATTTTGTTCACTGTTGGTTGTAGTATTTTGGATTCACAATTATATTAAGAAAATAAACTCATACCACCCTGATGCAGTGTTGTACTAAGGGCATTTTCAATTTTCTGCAGGTTGCAGAAGCTATAAATTCTCATTAATTTGCCTGTACAAGTGACTACAGCCATACCGCATTATTGAATACACCGGTTCTCGTCCGATTTAAGCAACAAGGTCGTTCTTGGATGGGAGACCACCTGGGAATACACGTTGCTGTAGGCTTTTGACAACTGTTTTATCTCGCCAATTTTTCCTTTCCATGTATTGTATGTATTCCATGTATATTCCATCCACAACAGTGCACTTCAAGAGTTTGCAACGCGTTGGCCAATCACAACGCTCGAATATGTCGACCATATCCAGACGAGCATTGGGTCGACAGATTTCACGCACTGTGATTGGCTAACGCGTTACAAACTCTTGGGGGCCCGCTGATGTGAAACGCCACTACTGAATGTCTTTAAATGCGAGCCAGCCCCGAAACACCGCGGCTGCTCGCTGTTTCCTCGGTCCACTGTCCACAGGTGAGGACGACCCAGTGCAGGGCAGCACCCGGCCCGCCGATTCCCCCAGCAAATTAAACAGCCTCCCCTGATACATGTAGTTATAAAAACCGAGGGGTTTATTTCAGTCTACGTGTACGAGGCACATAATAAGCAATCTCAGGCATGTGGTTTGGATAATTGGAATTTGTTTTATTTCATTCAAGTTATCAATCAAACAGGAGAAATCACACAGACCGTAAATTTGTTTCTCTCTTATGTTGGCATTGCTACATGGGCGTGGGGGGCGTGGGGAGGGGACTAGGGGGAAATGGGCGGGGAAAGAAAGAAATCAAAAATAGGTGCAAGGGGATGAAAAATTCTGATTTCCTTGAAATAGCCCCACAATTGACCTCCTCCAGCCTTCAGTTGTTCATTGAATTCTTTAGCAGAAATTTTGCCCCTGGAATAAGTGGTTTGGCTCAAGGAAAACATATCACGAAAACGCCCATAAGCTATTTGCTTTCTAATCAAGACTGGACGATACTTTGTCGTTGGTCGGTCACAATGGATCCTGGTTATCTCAAGACAGGTCTGTAGGCTACTGCATTGTTTTATGGCGCCGTGTCTGGGGAGGAATGACTGGTAAGTGGCTTGTGATTGACTCGCACTAGACATAAAATTTCAGCCCCCCCCATGCTCACCAGCATCTAAAATAATTCCGGAAAAGTCTTGGAAGTTTCCACAAGTTTCAGTTATGATCACAGCCTACAAACCGTTTCCTAACTCCAGGTTTCCTTGGAAACACAATAATCGTATCACTCAAGAATATTTTTGAATTCTGCTGCAATTAATGGTATTCCCTATTTCCAGCCAGAACTGGTAGTTCAAAAATGACCTCAGCGAAGCGACTGAGCGACATGGCGGCCTCCATCCACCGGGATGATTTCGCCGGTGGTGAAGCTCGCCTCGTCCGAGACCAGGAACGCCACGCACTGGGCAACGTCCTCTACAGTGCAGGCCCGGCCCAATGGATGCCATCGCTTGCCCTCTTCCTCCAACTTGAAAATGGAAGTGGAAAGGGATTTACAATAAACTTGATGGTCGAAATTTTCACGAGCGGTGGGTCACTTCCTATTTCGGTGACAGTTTCTATCTTTTGCTTTGTAATTGGATGGAACGCTAAAATTGAGCATAGCAAATTCAAATTAACAGCCAGTTTTGGCCATCTCTAGATTCTGTTGACCTTGGTCACATGAAATACCGATTGAATGAACATACATGTACGTCAAAGAAGGGGAAAATGAGTAATAAGTGAATATGTGCAGACATGAAAATGTAACATAAAGGACCACAATCCGGTTCGTAAGTGTGACGTCACTTAAGTTTAAACCACGCCCACTGCACATGCACTGCACATAGAGTTACACGCATTGATCGCCGTTTATGTGGAATCATGGAACCGGAAGTGAACGCGCAACTTCTGCGATCGTCCAGTGGGAGCCTACGAATCGTGGTGCGTCCGCCTTTCTGACGAGGTCACTGACGAACCGGACAGTTTTCAAGCAGGGACCGTGTGCAGGGGCGTTTCAGTACCCCGCCTTAGCATATAAAGGGCGCTCTAATAAAAGTAAGGTTCTGTACTTTTTAATTTTTGATCCATGGAATAGCCTCAGCGGTTCGAAACTCACATTGTCGTCGGTTGGATTCCACCTTGGCGCGGCCTTTTTGTACAGCGGAGTCACAGTTAAGCCTGGACTACAAGGATATAAAAGGATAAGCATTTCTAAATTTGACAGTGGACACAATGTCATCTATTTATCTTATTAAATCAAATTAGCTTGACAAAAAAAATCCACCTACCTCACTGCATTTACTCTGATCTGTTTAGGAGCAAGTTCTGTGTGTCAAAAAACGATGGAAGGTATGCGTTATATCCTGCGATAATTAATGAAAATAGCCTCTATACCTTCACAGAACAAGTAAGAATGAATAGCGCAAAATTATTTTAGTGCCCTGGTCCAAATGACTTTAATAATTAATTAATTTGATAGCAAAAACAAAATTCTCAATGTAAGAGGTTTTACGACCGCTATAAAGGTAGCCCAGATCCGCGTAAAAATGGGAAACAGCACATCCAAGTTTGAAGCCAGCTGGCTGTGAGAAAAAAATAATCCTCACGGTGTTTGAATAAGAGAGGGCGCTGTGTCACGCGGTAACCATAAAATTAATCCTTTTTACTTCGCTGCTTCACCTTCTTTAAAAAGAAATGTATTGCTTTAGGGATGTCATAGAGTTGGTCATTACAGTCATTTCCCCCTCTTTCACTGCGTATACGGGAGACTTGTATTCGCAGCGGTTCCATTAACTCCACCTATAGTGTCTAAAATGGTGCTCACCGATTGCAACTGTTTTTGTGAAGTGGTCCACTGCCGCCTTGGTCATCCCGTATCCAAGGAGACCTGGAGACTACAATGGCACAAAATGCATTGAAAATGCGAATTCACATACTTACAGAGGGACCCAAGGCAAAACAAAACCTGAAATACCAATTTCAGCGTGGAAATTACTTCTAATTAGTGGGAGCGCTGCCCAGTGACCTCAAGAAAAGCTAGCCTAAATGAGCCTTCGCTAAGTAGATCTTTTTTCTCGAGCACTTATGTGTAGATGACTACGTGTAGGCCTATGAGGTGTAGAGACGATCTCGAGGGAATCGTAGTCTTAACAATTAATCAAATCGGAGAAAATTGGGATATTTTTTGGCTCTCTTCCCTCGTTTCGTCAGGCTCAGCCTCGGTATCCTTGAGCAACATGCATGGGGAAGACTAACAGTTTAATTAGAAGGAAAGGAAAAAACAAATTTGGAACAATTCTCACCGCTCGACGACTGGACGTGCTGGAAATGTTAACGACCGACCCTGGAGTGAGGAAATATACTAGGTAACAGGAGGAAGATATCACGATAAACGAAAACACTAGGAAAAAAAGGGAACCGGCAAAGTTGGTGTCATTAATTGCATTATACATGTTTGAATATTGACCCTAAATCTTGATAGATGCCGTGTCTTTCCCAGTCGAGATTAACCAAATAATGGCACTCCGAAGTAAGGAATAGGTACCTTTTGTCCTGGCAAGATGGGGAGCAGTGTGCTTAGTAACGAGGAAAAGAGATCGGATGTTGCCAGACACCAGCGAGTCTAACTGGTCCACGGTCATCTCTTCTAGGCCGCCGTAGGACAAAACGCCAGCACTGTTTACCTTTATTAACAATTAAACGTACCTCTCTCTCATTATCTCTTTGTTTTGACATTTGCACTATTACCGCACTGTTTCAACATTAACACGTAGAACATAGTCAGGTTTTCATTGAAATTTCTGGGAATGATTCAGCGAACTGGCGTTTTTTTTAAACAAGCCACGATACCCAAAATGGTGTATGAATTAGTTACCGGTATGACATTCAAAAACTTCAAAATGAGTTTTGGCCCTATGGGGGAGAAACTCAGTTATACTTAACCATACTCACCAAAATGTGGATTTTCTGGAACTTTTCAATGCTCCTTTTAATCAATTCCTTCACGTCTTTCTCTCTCTCCAAGTCTGCTTTGACCAATAAAATCTGATGGGAAGATAATTGTTCAGTACTGGTACTTCACGCGGTTTTGCCCATTTGCCAGAACAGTAAATGGCACTAGTCAGTCACCTGAAACCTCTTCACTGGTGAGGGCGCTACATAAATTTGTCGGTTATTAAAAACGAAAACTTTCAGAACCGGTGTGGCATGAAAGTTCTTGGTATAACTTTTTTCCAGTACTAAATGAGTCTACACTAAATTAAGGCAAAAGGTCGGGTAAAAATTACTGTGCACAACACAATGCCCTTTGCAGCATATTTTTCATTTCGTACTCGAATTTAAAGGTGATTTTAAAGGCACTTTTCCTACAAAGAGACAAAGCGTCCTGAATGATCGACGTCTTTGTATCAAGCCAATTTAGCTTATGGTTTCATGGTCTTTTTAGCGACATCTCGACACTATGCGAGGTCATATGAGGTCAGAACGGGACGACTTGATCGAACCATGACTAACCGGTGACTCGAAAGGTTAAACATCCATCGTGCATTGAATACACCATAGTATGTTTATAGAGATTTACGCCAACTTCAGACCTTGGAACCAATATGGCAGTTCATTATGTGTGCAGTACAGCATACAGCTATAATTATAACGGTGCTAATTGTCCACGTTTAGTGATATATAAACCACCATTTTGGTTCCAACAATTGAGACACTCATGTCACAACAGCTCCGCATTCATACAAACCTTGTCGTCATCCAGGCCCCTCTCTTCGCATTCTGCATGCACGAGCCGGAGGTTTTCCTCGTTTCGACCCACGAGTACCAGCGAACAGCCGAGGAGAGCGAAATGGCGCGCAATCCCTGCGCCTATGCCTGAACTAGCACCTTCAAAAAGACACACGCAGGACGGCCAAAGTTACCAAAAACCTTAGGAGCACAATATGCCGTATTAAAATGACGTTGTATGGCGTAAGCGGGAAAGAAACAAACACTACTGGGAAAGCGTAGTTAAATGGATTGTCATAATACCTGTAAATTTGCAACCAGCTGCAGACAGCTAAAATATACGAGCCACATGTATATTAATTAAAACTTTGTACGTGTATAAACATCTGTATGATCTATGTTCTTCGTATTATGCGGTGACTGAATATCGTATCGACCCAATTCAAAGGGGAAATCACAATGCTTACCCGTGACGATAGCTACTTTGCCATTCAAGAAGAAACTCATTTTAGCCGGTTAGCGAACCGTTTTCCACGATGCTTTCAGAAAGTAAGAAATTGATGCTGCACGCCAACGGTCAAAGTGGGCCTAGAAATTATGAGTGTACCCGACAGAACTTACAAATAGTAGACATAGTATAGTGTAAACATACGCCGAACGCATCCCGGTTTATTCAGTGCGAGACAAGATAATGGTATGCCCGTGCCCCTGCTGTGCATGGCCGCGGAGTGGCGCGTGCTTCCGGACATAACATCAACGGCTGCCTCGTAAAATCAGTCAGTATACCCGCAGAAAAACCAAAACCACCCACCTGCGAATTTGATTGGTCGGAGACCTGCGTTTTTTTAACACGTGCAGTACATGTACGTGAATGTGTTTCTTCACAGACAGACAAGGAGAATGTCTCAGCATTATAGAGGTGAGGTTGCAAACTACACACCAGTTTTGTATTCATAAAAGGCTATGGAACAAAATGGTGCTGTCTTATAGGCCTGTATAAAATCTTTGTCTTGTGGGGAGTAAAAAATCCATAGTAATTCACAATTAAACTAGAACAACACTACAAGTTGAGCGTTCCCATAAGCCTGAAAAATACTTTGATGGGAAATGGGAACTCGAGCGTAACTTAACAATGCCATGTATGTTGACCGTATATGAAATACTCCCATCAACGACCTTGGCAGCTGCGAAAGGCGTTGCTGCTAAATATGTCGTGAGTTGGTAGAATAAATGGATTGTTCGTTCTCTGTGCGCCTTATGCTATCGAGATACAGATGAGTCAGCTTGGACGAACCGTTTTCAGCACCGGTAAAACGGTAGAGCCTACACGTTCAAAATTGACTCCCTAAGTTCTAACACGCAAAAATCATAGCCTCGGCATCACCAGATACCCTCGGTCCGAAGGAGCAACATGACAGCTAGAACGTACCTGACTATATTGAGTGTCCTGTCCAAATGGACAGGCCTAGTGCTCGGTGACTTTCACGTCTGCTGTCCTACCTGTTCCAGTCACGCAATCGACCCCCTGAATGCCGATCAAGTCCGGCAGGTTATGAGCAGCAGCGCCTTCCTCGAGGAGATCGAGCAGAACCCGCTTCTGCTCCTGCAGGACGAGGCACGCCAGAGGCCGATCGTCAACTTCACCAGCCGACAGGAGGAGCAGATGCTGCTGAACTTCCCTCAGCTGTTCCGGACCCAGGCGGAGTTTGCCGAGTCCCAACTTACTAGCGGCACGGTCACCGTGTTGGCTGCGGCGAACAGTACGCGGAGGCGTCGGGCGGATGAGCCCCCTCGGGTCTGCCCCTCGGTATCGCAGACGATGGCGTTGGTAGTCATGTACCGACCGGATGGCCAAGTCGTCCAGTTAGGACAGGTATTAAAGCAACGACAGGTTAAAATGATACTAACAATAATTTTTTCCCCGCATATTACACACTTCCCTGTAACCCTGTTCTCTAATTTGCAACGCGTTAGCCAATCACAATACCCAAAATCTGTCGACCCATTGCGCGTTTGAAAATGGTAGACAGATTTTGTGCACTGTGATTGGCCAGCGCATTGCAAACTCTTCGCGGGGCACTATTTGGGAGTCGCCCGTATTAATTAAGGCCACAGGATCCGAATTATCTGGCCGCAGCTTGAAATTAGGCATCAGTCTACGGTAATGGCTGCGGCCACTTTCCATAGAGTCGTGTGTAAGTTCAAAGTCCAGCCAAGTAATCTGGACAAGGCCTGACATTCCTTTAAATTTTATTGTAATGAAAAGTGCAACTGGGGGCGCTGGTGTTGGGACGTCATTCAGAGAAGACGTGGTTCACTTCAAATAGTGTAAGGTTTTTAGTTATTGTAAAGTAGTCGGTAAAAGGCGATTTGTGGGATCATTCCTCCAAAGTGCGTGTAAATATCCCCCAAATTTAACCTTACATCTCCGAAAGCCCGCATATGCTTATGAACAGAATTCCTAAAAGTGTTTGCCCCCAGAAAGAAATTCCCACCCGGACAAAAAAAAGCTCTGAATCTGCCCTTGCTGAGCCTTCAAGGCCGTGTCCGAAATGGGCTCCCAGAACTATATGGGTGCGCATCTCCGCGTATTATGCCCAATAGAGTGATGACATAGACCAATAGCTCCAGACAACACATTCGGATGCAGCCTTTCCAATTACATGTGGACTGTTCAGGGTGCAGTGTCCCAATTCAAGGAAAATTCTCCGCCAGGATGAGCCGCACAAAAAGTACCCCCCAGAGATTGTTTCGAAAAGAGGGGTCTGTTTGGGCCAAGGAATAGTGGGATTGTGTCAGTATGGCCAAGAATCATCTCTGTAGATTCAGGGGCACCCATCCGGGGGCAAAGCAGACAAAAATTCGATTGAAAATTAGTCAGAAGAGCCCCAGGAAGGTGAGGGGTGTCATTTGAAAAATGGCCGCTGGGAAGACTTGGCAACATTCACTTTTTGGGGGTGAGTTTGTTTTGGGCGGATAATTAAAAAATTCATAGGTTAACCTACTAAAAATTGAAAATCAAATGAAATCTGAAGGACCAAACAACACATTGTTTTATGTTTGACAGGCCTCAGGGACTTCAGTTGCCTGCCATGGCGCTCCAAACTTGGTTGATTTTACACTCTTTTCAATGGAGCTTGAATTGGTTCAGTGCACCCTTCAGTTTCTTCCCATTCTCGTTGCAGCCCCAGGGAGTCAACCAGTGGATACTGAACGAAGTGTGCGACACCACCGTGAGCGCGCTCCTGGCGACTGGCCAAGAGTGCGGGGTGATCAGCCGTCACGTCCTGGCGCTGTTCGTCAACCTGAGCGAGATCAAACGGACGGGGGGCCGGGATAGCAGTCGAGCTTTCGACTTCGCCGAGGTGGTTGTGCAAAGCTGCGTGACACTTGCACCGTGACACCGCGCCGGTTTCCCCCGTCAGTTCATTTCCTCCGCTAACGCGTCAGGGGGGGGGGATCCAGAACCGTTTTTTGAGGGATGGGTGCAGGAGAGTTGGGAATTTTTCCTGTAACTTGCATGGTCTTCTTGGAGAATGAGGTTGCATTTCATGAGGCCTTTTGCAAGGAAGAAGGGGAAATGAAATTTGTCTTTTTTGTATGAATATTTTCTTTACATTTTGTTCTGGGGAGAGATGGGCCTTTCTCTTTTAGAACTGTCATTAGAGCACGTCAAACTATGGAATTACAACTGTTTGTACACAAACGTTATCAGATTTATACTTTCTTGCGCCAATAAAACTGTAATTTGCTAATGCATCGAAGAAATGTTCTCCTTTTCCAAAATTTCATAGAGATGTGATTTTAATTAAACGGTTCTGTGAGTGTTTTTGATGGTATTTTCTTGGGGGGGGGAAGGAATCCATTGTTTTAGCAGCTGCCTATACGGACCTTCGTTACTCAAATACATTATCTGTGGTAGGAAACCAGACTTGCCGGCTTGAAGTTCAAAGCACTTTATTACAGACACCAATGACGTCATTCATGGGTATCAGCAAATCCCAACACCAGCAAACAGTAGAAGTGTAACGTCCCTTCAGTATTTCAAAATCACGCCCACTTCACATGGAGTTACATGGAATCATTGAACCGGAGGTTATTGTACCATTTACAGTGTTAATCGAATTTGAGCTTACAGTCAGTGGTGCGTGCGTGGGTATGACGAAGTTACTATCATTAGGCATGAATAATACCTTGGCTGGTAATTTTAATTCATTTTTAAAAAGGGAAGTTGGTGGCAGCTAAAAGGATCATGACACCAGGAAGTGTGAGTGTTCTCCCTGTTTACGCAACAACGAGATTTTCCATCTTTCGGAGGCTTAAAAGGAATACCAGGTTGCAGCTGGAGGGGGAACGACTTTTCACAAAGAAGACGGTTAACATGAATGATTTCACCCCAGACTTATAAATATCATTGCCGTCATTAACTTTCCCCCGAAAACCCAGCGTCTTTGCGAACATTATAAAAGCCACACGGGCTACATGGGGCACCTACATTCTTGGCAGTCTTACCGAAGAGGCTTGACACGAGACGATCAGTAAAACCTCTCTCTCTCGCTACTTGGACCAAGATTATATTTCTGAAGACAGGAGACCAACCCTATCCTAATTTTTAAAAAAAATGGCATTCGGCACGTTTTCAGCCCTCATTCTCACCGCTATGATAGCGGGATGTTTTCCTCAGGGCCTTTGGCGACTTCGACCAGGTCTCCCCTCTCCGTCCTGCTCCATTTCCCTTGAGGCGAGTCAAATCCAGCAGGTTAGGGAAAATCGAGACCTCGTCCGACTGCTCGAGAAGAACCCCAGTTATCTAAAAAGCTCGCAGCATCAACACCCCATAGTGACGCTGACGTACCGGCAGAAGCGCCTTCTTCTCAGGCGCTTCCCTGACCTGTTTCGGCAGAGCGACGGGACTACGTCTGCCGGCGACCCCAGGCAGCGGAGGAACACAGCAGGTAGGGTCTGCCCGCCTCGGCCAGACTCGGAACCTCTCATCCTGGCACGCACGGCCGACGGTCAAGTGGTCCAGTTGGTGCAGGAGGTACGTGCCCCGACCTTTTTTCATTCCTCCTGTGTAAAGTTTCTAATTTCAAGCCGGAGGATCAGAGGAGGCAAAATCCCCTCCCCCGCACTTGGGGGAGGGGAGGGGCTCAAGGCATTACCAGAGTTGATGCATTGAAGTATGCAAGATAATTATGCGATATTCATAAAACTTTTAATTCACAATGATTTCTTCAGTTTTTATATATGGTTCACACAGCAGTGTAGAATATTTACAAAATGGCTTTCGGTGTTCGCCTTGCTCAGATCATCCACCACACCAGTTATAAAGAGTCAAAAGAGTGTACATTAGGTTGGTAGTAACGTGACCGTAACGCGAACATTTGAAAGTCGTCTGTGAACCAGCGAAATTCAGTTCACACCAATTGGTCCCCATTACAATTGAGATCAGTGTTTGGCTCCCTTTGAATCTGGGATCAAGAGCTAGGTCTAGGTGTTCCCTTCATAGCATATGACACACGTGGAGACGTGCAGACAATAGACCTAATGACATAACGCATTGAGGGAAAGGGCAGTGACGACAGTAGGCCTACGCGTGCTATTGCTAGAGCATTACGCGCATGGAAAACTGTCACAAAGATGAGATTGAGAAGGCTCATGTTTTCCAAAAGGGTTCGTGCTAACTGTTGACGAACGCCACAGCTCGCATGACTGTAGTCTGAATACCAGAACAGACCTGATGATTCTGACTTCTCAATGAATCAAGGGTCCCTTATCACTCAATGTGCACGTGACCAAGACTGGAGAAATTCCTCCAGTTTTCCAGAAATAGCCAAAATATTCCAGAGTTGACCCGTCTACATGTACATTCGCCATGTTCATATGGTACCGTTGATGTTCGGTTATTCCCGGCTGGATAAGTAGGCTAGCTGTTGAACGTAACCTCCCGTATATCCTAATGCCAGCTGTTGATCCCACAGTATTTGACTTTATACACTGAAATATACAATTGCTGTATTGCCCACTGGATGTGGGAAAAGCCAACTTTTGAGATGTTGCCACTGATGAATTCGAAAATACCCTGGCTCTCAACTTGTGACCCCTGATTCTTGCGTCATATCTATTTATATCCGTCGGCGATGCCTGACCTAAGATTTTTTATCCAGAGTTGTCAGGGAATCGAATCTTTGGGCAGGGAACCAGACTAGCATGGTTGTCCCAAATTACTCCCACAATGCACTACAGGAAAAATTGCGTTACGTCATTATATTTCAGGTCTACAGACCAATGGCCGAAGCTCCTGGAGCCCGTTTCGGACACGGGTCTTCCAGCCAAAGGCGCCCTAATTGCTAGGAAAACTGCACCTCTGTTGGTCCAGTCTGGGCTCATTAGTGTGGAACTGTAAAAAAAGAAGGCAGTGATTTTGAACCTCATAAATAAGATCGCTTCAGAATTATGTGCACCATAGACTTGACTCAAGTCGGGATCTCTGTGACGTCGTCGTTTCTGCTTTGGACACACATCGAGGCTGCGCGCCCTTTCTTGCTTCGCGCCCTGGTGTCCACTTAATACTATGAGTAAAGAGCAACGTAAGTCCGACTTGATTCAAGTCTATGTGCACCAGTGCACGTGTTGGAGTTTCAAGAAGTTCAATCTCTCACGCCGAGCCAACGTACCCCCCTGCCCAGTTAATTTGAAAATTTACTGGAAATTTCACAGATATAGATTACCAGCGAAAAATTCATGGACTGTACCCGTATATGCTCTGCATGGTTTCTTTTGTTCAGCACTCTAAATCAGCTTTCTTATAGGAACTTGTTTGAGGGGACAAGGATTTCTGATCCTAATACGTTTCACTCACTATTCGTCTGTTTTGTTGGCCGCTGCAGGTTGCGGGGCACAACCAATGGATCATGGACGAGATCTGCTCGGCTCAACAAGACGGTGATATGGCCTGCGGGCTGGCGGAGCGCGAGATGCCGGCGCTCTTCATCAATCTCAGCGGCATCCTGGCGACCGAGGGGAGCGATGCAGACTTCGACATGGCCTATATTGTCGTTAACTGCTGCGTGGCGATGAGGGAGTAACCGCGCCTTCGCCCTCTGAAGCTTCAACTGCCAACTTGATGACGTTATTCGATTTCAATAAATAAAACCGTTTAAAATGTGTTTTTTTCTACCATTTAAAAAGACAACAGTAAAGATTAATGTGCTTGCGTGCACAACAACAGGTCATTACTGCATTCATGCGTGTGTGCGCCTCAAATGTCTCTTGTATGCACCAATCCGCTCCTGGCGGAACGAGGGCGTGTTTTAAAGTAAAACTGACAGTCCCCGCATGCAGCATAGGCGCCCAAGTATATACGCGTTTGGCGCGAAGCACGCTGAGTACGCATGTGAATTTACTCCAGAATGCAGGTCTCCATACACTGTCTTTCTTTCGCCGATTGGAGTTGCACTTTAGCTCAGGATAGGCTGTGACCACAGACATATAAACACCAAGATCACCATAGCCTTTGATCATGGAGGTAGAAATAGAGGGCGCCCGCGGCGAAATGGATAGTCACACGACGAACTGCACGCAAGCCCGAAATTAACCATGCATGCGCATGCAGTAGCCGAGCTGTGTGTGTCGTAGACCGTGCGTGCGTGCGCGCGCGTGCAGGGCGTTCGGTGCGGTTCGTCGTGTAGTCTTTCTTCGTGCGTTGGTTTGGTGCTTAAACTAGTCTCCTCCAGCTCCTCGCTCTTGAGCGACTATCCATTTCGCAGCGGGCGCCTTGATCAAAGGCTAAGACCACCAGTGCTGCTCGTATGTGAGTTTGGGTGCGTTCGATTAGCTTACACGTGTAAGTCAAACTGACTCTCGCTCTAATGACTTTTCCTCACACAATTGTACGCATGACGTTGGCACCTTGGTACTTTATCCCTCACAATGAGTTGTGGGGATAAGGTGAACTTGGCAATTCCCAAAGTCATTACATTCACTTCTGTGATGGCCGATATCTTCAGACGTACGCTAGCCAGGCCAGAGTTACCACAGTGCAAATGGGTACATCCCATGCACCAATAGACCAGATGTGCATTTTCACTGACTTTAAAATGCTTACTTTTTTATTTAATCTGTGGAATACATGTATGTTATTGTAACTATTTAACAGTTTTTTTCTAGAATTGATTGGAACAATGCGGAAATAAATGAACCTTGAAACTGCTGGCAGTACAATTCATTTGTATCAGTTTAAAATCAATGTACAATGACAAAATTTTCATCTCACGCAATCACTTAAAATCTGTACACTAATAAATATATGTACATATTTTGTGCAAGTTTGCAAAGCCTATTTCAAGAGTTTGACTGCTTTTCTTGCACCGATGCACCTGTCCCTCTCAGCACTTTGGTAAAGTATTTTGACACCTGCAACTTTACTCAGCGGATGAGAGTAAGTTTGCAATTTTTATACAGAAAAAAAATGGGAATTAAACAACTGCGAGAGATAACTTTGGATATATCACTGAGCAGGTTTGTCAACTAAGCCAGTACTTATCTGTGGGCATTCTTCCGTCAAAACCACCTGTTCAGAGTCAAACACCGGCAATCTTTTGCCATAACTTGCCAATATAGGGCTAGCTGTTATGCCCACCTGTGCACAGTGATGGCCCCTCACTTTGAAGGCCTTGAATCCTTTGGGACAATCTGTCCATAATAGCCACCTGTCCTATGCAGCGACTTGCCGTAATGTCATATCTCTCATGTGTGGTCATCTGCCCCCCGCAGCCACCAAGCTCACTTGATCCATCAGACTGGGGTTTGCTATCTCTCCAACATTTCATCTGTCTGCAGTGGCCGCCTCTAAAAAAAGTGCTGACCACCAGTCGAAGGCTCACCAACACAATAACCACGTGTCCGATCTTTCCATTTGTCCATAGTGTCATATCTGTCACCTGTGGTCATCCATCCTTGTCAATGGAACTCTGTATCCAACAGACTGACGGGGGCCATCTCTCAGACAGTGCACCCGTCCACCCTGGCCGCCTCTCAAAAGCGTCTCCTTCAAGTTCGACCATCTGTCTGTAGTACACACCTGTCCACTGTTGTCCATAATGTCATCTGTGGTCATTTGTCCAGCTCAGCAACATGGGCCGAATTAGGACATCTGGCTGTCTACTGCAACTGCTGATCAAAGGCGCCCACTTGGAGCATCTGCTACCAACTCTGCTCGAAGACCGATTTCACGAGACGTCCAGATGTTTTTTGCTAATTCCTCCACACAGAGAAAGAGGGATCCTGCACCTGAGGCTTTCCACTGGCATCTGGGGGTTTCTCGTCCGCCAAGACGTCTCCGCCCAGTGCTGCTAGCATTTGAGAGGCTGTTAAAAAAGTCGAACCAATAAATGAAAGGTCATCTTTCACGCAATAGTTCAACTGGCGGGGAAAAAAAGAACTAACACCCGCTTCAGACAGGCAAAAGCTCGATGTCTGAAACAATTAGGAGCCAAGTGTGCTACCTGGTGAAAGATAAACACTTGAAGATGCTCGGAACAACACCAGAGCGACTTGGTTTCAGACGTTTCAGCTCTTTTCATGAGCCTAACCCATTGGAAATGTCCGTATTAAGTTTGTCTGTGTAAAACCAAAAGTTAATTGGGTTGACCCAAGTTGCTCTTAATTCTATTTGGTTCAGCACGACCCTGGAATGCCTGTCTGAAATGGGGGTAATAGAGTCAAGACAGGGTCAAGAGGATCACAGAGTCGGGAGTGGTTGTCACAATTTTGGGCTGTGCTTCAGCTAGTTTTAGTAACAGCATAAACCAAAGAGTTTGGAACAAGTGGGATACTGGGGACTGGGGGCGTCATACCAGTGGGTGTCCAAGAGTTGTTTACAGAGCGAGTTGCGACATGAGTGTCTCAATTGTTGGAACCAAAATGGTGGATTATCCATTGGTGCACATGGACTATTAGAACACAACTGTATGCTGTATTGCACAGATAATAAAGAGCCATTTTGGATCCAAAGTCTAAAGGTTAGTGCTAGTTTCTCTCTACGCAGCTCTGGGGCTTCCATGCAACCAGGGGTGCACTGTTTGAAATAAACACACCGTGTGTACCAGCCACAGTTCATGTGCTTTTCCCTGCTCCCTTGGAAAAATGTTCCCATCAGCGCTGGTTTCCCCTCGGAAAATATCATCCCACTGACGCCCCTGCCCAAAGAGAGAGGACAGTACTTACAATCATTGGGGTTCTTCTTGGCTCGGACAAATGGGTCTGGTCTGATGGCGTAGGCCGACCCAGGCCTGGAGAACGATGCTGCCTGAGAACAGGTCATGTACAGGTCAGGTCATGTCAAACTGAATAGCATTAGTCCTGCACAACTTGCACATTAATGCTACTAAGGCTGCGTCCGAATCTCTTGTCTAGAGCTAGGTCTAGGTCTTCACTCCTTTAGAAATGCATGGAGATGCGTAGACGATAGACCTAGCCGTAGCTCTGGAAGCCCGTTTCGGACACGGCCTAAGAGAGCAAAATGCTTCTGTATACTCCTTGCCTGGAAGCTCAACAGAACGTGCCCATCGAAGTTATGCGTTAAGGCAGAGTACGAAGGCACAGGCTTTGCGTCACTAGGATCAAACCATTTGCTTAATTCTAGTTATTTTTTAAATGTGTATCGGCTTGACCAAGCAATTCATTCATAAACCCACCATGCGGATCCCTCCTGCCATAGACGAGGGTGAAGGAGTGTTCCTTGATGGGGGTGCAGTTACCTGTTCACAAACATGTCACGGGTCAAAGGTCATTAACATAACTATGCAGATATCCTCACTCAAACAAGATTGAAAAAAAAAACCCCACACAAGTCAATCTTTCACAAGGATGAATCCAGGTGCCAGGTTCTTTTCGGGGGGGGGCCAAAACAAGTAAACAGCGTCCCCGTGCACTTTGCATTGACTGATCGCATCAGTGACAACTAAACAGCTGCTCAGACACAATTTCCTGGACAAAACGGCTTAAGACATTTAATATCTAAATTCTGATTGATTTGAAAAAAAGAAAAACCTTCATTTTTTTAGGGGTGGGGGATGCATGGCCCTGCCCCTCACTGATCCACCCATGATCTTTTACTGATCTTTTGAAACTTTTCACTCTCGTGAATAAACAATGACTGTTTTGCAACAGAGTTCTGACGGCTGCACACAAACAATCGTAAGGTAGGAAATGAACTTGTACACCTTGATATGAATTATCAAATACGGGCCAAAAGAACGGCTGTGTTGGACCATCTACCTTGTCTCTCCAACTGAATCGCTGATTTGAATAATGATTATTACTGTTTGCCCTGGGTGATTCACATTCCAGTTTCTCTGTCTACCTTTTTGATGATTCCCTTCTCAATCAGTTCTATTTTTGATGTCCGCTTGCAGCCTAGGATGGCAAAGTGAGACCAGATCTTGTCGGACGCTGATGCAAAGTCTTTGGCAGTCCTGAGAAGAAAAAGTCATTTGCGAGTGAGCCAAAAGTTCTCTTTGAGGATTGTTCACCGGTATAAAGTAAAATAAAGAAATTTGAAAGGATGTTCAGAAAACGAACCTTTCTTCCTTGTCCGGGATTTCTGGCTTGGCATCATTCTCCAATAGAATCATTATGATCTGGAGAAAAGGATGTAAAAAATGTGATTTTCTTCATCATTGTGTGGTTTCCCTGGTGCACAGGGTTGTGATAATATCCAGCAGATGAAAATTAGCAGGCGTATAGACAGAAAGACAAAAGTAAATGAAAGACTGCTGTGAATCGGTTATTACAGTAGCAAAATGAAACGGCAGCAAATGGTAAAAAAAAATACATTGACAACGACATGCACGAAACAAACATAAAAATGGTCACCATTTATGGACTGTTGATGAGAAGTGATGAGGCATCGAGATAAAAAAGGCCAAGAATGAATTTGTAAAGGTGTGGCAGGGAATGGGCCACAGCTGAGTCAATGGCTCTAATGGGGAGTCGGGTCGGTGCAGTGACTCTTTCCTCGCCTTCCACTTCTGCGACCCAGGTTCGAATCCCACCTAGGTCAGCTTGTGGATTGGGTTTTCAGTTCCTGCCTGACTCTGTGGGTTTTCTATGGAATAGTCATCCTGGGTTTTCCTCCCACCTCTCAAGCTGAACATATCTTAATTGTCTTCTAAACTGCCACTCCATCCTGTAACTGTGTCGGATAAACCGATATAAATACATGTAAATAATACAAATCAAAGTCGGTACATGGGGGAATACCGTTAAAAAGTTTGGAAGCTGACCTTGCCGTGCTCCTGAAAAGCAGCTGCATGCAGTGGGGTCCACAAAGTGTCCTTGTTCTGGTAATTGACATCTGCTCCAGCTTCCAGGAGGGTCTTGACAACGTCAGGAAACCCCCAAAAAGCAGCTGACAAAATCACAAATTGGAAATCAGGATCAATTTGAAAGACTTCCAGACCTGAAGGACCATGGAAAGTTTCGAACTCCCAAAATTTGGAATATTAACGCACTGAAGTGTGAGTAAGACTGAATCTGGCAATGTTACCAATATCATGTGAACAAGAATGGTTGTTTCTTGAAACAAACTAAGTCCACTTGGACTGGCCAGAGTTTAACTTACCAATATAAAGTTGGCTTTGGCGAATATTTTCGGAACCCCCTTGGACTTCCACACTCTCCGAAAGGAATTTCTCTACCAGCTGTGCAAAACAAGTAAGCCAAATTGTAAAACACTTATCCGTTACTCTAATGATGATGTTTTAGTATGGGACTTTACAATTTGTTTACAAGTGCTCACAATTTGTTTACAGTTGTTTCAAATTTGTTTATATTATTTACAATTGTTTACAATTACAAAGGAAGTGCAATGAACCGATTAGCTGTTTGATTTAATCACAGGCCGTGATTGGTAAATCTATGCCATTGACAATATGTGCCATGATGGACCTGTCCTCATAACCATGTCTTTGCATGATCAGATGACCATGATCTGGTACAATCTGTCACTAATGTTATCATCATCAGACGATCACTGTTTACTCCCAGAACTGTGAGGCACACAATGTACATAGAGTGGGCATGCCTCACAATTCTGGGAGTATCACCGTTTATCCTGCTTTACATAAGAATGTTCCGAAATAAACTTGGACGTAGGTCTACATGTAACCCAGGCCTAGACCTATATTTCGTATGACTGTGCAATCAAGTGATAGCTCAGGTCACGCTCAGGTCGACCGACCGATCGCGCCCAACACCATCTGAACCATAAATCACATGACCGAACCATAAATCCGGCTGCCTGGTCTGCGAGCATGCATGGTCTGATACATGTAGTGCGTCATGTGCTTGGTTCTAGGGCCTAGTAGTAATACTCGACCTCAGCTCCGAGTCCTAGGCTATGCCAATTTGAATTGAAAAACACGAAAAGCACTCACAATCTTGCAGAAGAAGGGAATCGGTGCTTCACGTCCTCTGATCCTTACCTTTTCGTTGCCTTTCTGGGCAAGTGTTGACAACTCAGGCACGCTGATTTTCGCCACAGCAAGCTGTTTCTGAAGATCTTGCATTACCGATTCGTTGGCATTGGCGACGGCGTCTCCGGGGGCCGCCATCTTGAACTGACCGGAGTGTTTTGTTTTCTATTTTCTGCCAATGGAATTTATGAAGTGCGCCCTCTGTTGAACTCCCGACCAACCGCCTTTTTTTGTATCGTGTGCGTCATTTTCCAGGACAGATCCGAAGGGTCATAACCCCTTCTCCCAAGGATCCGATTTTGAAAGATATCGAGACAAGGGCGGTTTTTATGTATTCGTCTGTTTGCCTTCTAATAGCGTGTAAAATGCCCCGCCCCTCATAAAGGCCGACCATGATTTCACAAAAAAAATAGAATCAAATTTTTTTCCACACAAATGAACATGTCCCGTTCGGTTATTCCACATTATTCATATTCAAAATATGACACACAATTTGAGGGTCATGTTTGTGTAGAGAAAGGCCCGACTGATTTTCAAGACGGGTTAATCACTTGCTAGTTTAAAAAAGGAGGCTGGAAATCCATATGATGTTCAGTCGTAATACATGTAAATGATTTATTCTCAAAGTCCCAATGAGATCACACAACACAAATAGGGAAAATAAAAGTTTGAGGGGAAGTAATTGTGTGGCCATACTGTTGGGCATTTTCCATCATCTGCCAGTAACATTTACTTAAACACCATAAAATATACTTTTACAATGCTATTTTGCACAAAAGAACTTGACTCTTCTCTTCTTATTTCCGACTGATTTTCACCTCCTGATAATTGATTTTTCAAAATAAATCATATTCCAATATCTCAGTGATAATCGATAATACTCAACACTGGCCAATGACAATTTAATGTATGCGTATCCTGTAATGTTTGACTGGGCATTCCCCATGGCCTCCTTTATAAAGCTTTAATGGCACAAGGCATTGTGGGAACAGCTACCCCCACAGCTCACCGCCATTGGCGGGGGCCACTGCTGATGATTAGTGATAGCGTTACCATGGTCCTGGGATTCATCGACTAGATCAGTGCACTCACTAGATCAGTCTTGACACCATTTGACGAATACGAATTCGCAACGAAATTGATAAAAAAATTGGATTAAGAATCACCCGGCGTGAAAATCAAAATGTCTACTTTTACTATCGCACCATTCCCGACACCATAAGCTAAAGCATTCTGCACCGTGTATTTTGTGTATAAAGTGGCATTTTGGAGACCTTCAAAGAATGTAAGCTGGGAAAAAGACATACCAATAAGCCATTTCAGAGGTAAATTTGAATAAAATCTGGTAAACTGAGTTGTTTAAATTCATGTGAACATAACAACTTAAATTCTCCATACTAAAACCACTGTTGCTGTACCTCGTGATTCGGGACAAACTTTTGCTTAGTTACATAACATACGCCTTGCAATAATACACTGTTCTCGATGGATAAGAACGGCACAAAGGAACCAGTCCATTCCAGAGATGGTGGTCGCTATGCAAAAGCTTGCCCTGAATCACGAGGTATAGCAACAGTGTCTTTAGTCTGGGGAATTCAAATTGTTACGTTTCTGTGCGATCAGATAATACAGTGTACCAGATTTTATTCAAATTTAACTCGCAAGTGGCTTATTTGAGCACACAGGCGGAGCTTGTTGAACTATGACGTGTCCCAACTTTCAACGAAAATGAGCCTGACCGATTGGATTCTCATAAAATTGATAAAATAAAAAGTCTATTCTCCTTTCCATCCTTGCTCTAGATCTGATGTATTTAGTATTTTATTTTAGCAGACTGGTCCCTTGACGGCACTAACTGTAAGAGTTGGCTTTGTGCTTAGGCAGGAACTGAAAACCATCAGGAACTGGACCCAGCAGCATCTCACTACAGAGGAAAAAAAAAATCAGAAATTTGTGATTTCTTGATGAAATTAAGAACAGAGGAAAACGATACTTTGACATGTAGGCCCAATGCTAATTGGCTAGTTAAAAATAAATTACCAGCCTAAAATGCCAACAGAGGAAGGTTACAATAGGGGCGATTTACAAGAGTGCGCCACCAAGAGTTTGCAATGCATTGGCCAATCACAATACGCGGAATCTGTCGACCCAATGTGCCTTCGGAAAGGGTTGACAGTTTTGTTGCAGACTGTTAGGGGCACACTATTGTGAATCGCCCATACTACCCCTGATATGCACACCAGTCCACACACGGAGTAGAGGCCCATGATTTTACTTTTCAGAAATACCAAATTCAAGCCATCCAAACTTGCAACAAAGCTGAACAGAAAACACTTCCCTTAACCTGCAACTTAGCCGGCAACTTGGACCATCTGATGCCTTCTTAGTACATGTGGGGTATAAAGATAATTCCCCTGTAATTTTTTGTACTTTAGCTTTATAGTTTAAACCCTGAGGGATGCCACTGTTGTGAAACTCACTTGAATGACACACTTGATTTTCTAGGTGTCTTGGCACACTACGTTATCACACCATAGTATCTCGGCATGACCCATAGGTCATGTGTGTGACCTGCAACACAAGCCTGGCACCTCCACAAGAAGTGGCTCACAATTCCAGTCTCTGGAAATCAGACTGAGTCTCAATCATGTCAGCCTTTGGGGGAACCAATTCTGCAAAGGCGTTTCCCGGCCTCACCTTATCTTGACCCAGTCGGCGCAGTTTGTGCTGGAGAAGAGCGTCTCTAGGTCGCTGCGCCCCACGTAGTAGGGCGGTCGCTCCTGGATCTTCTGGGGCAGTCGCTCCAGAATGCCTACAGGGATGTAACGGTGGAGAAACGACAGCCACTCCAGCAGGAAACGCCGGGTCTTCTCCACTCCCTGTCCACAAATTTTTTCAACAGGTTTTCAACCCCCAATTTGGAAGACCAACCGATTGCATAGTGTAACAATGAAACTGGAAACAACACGGCCAGAAATTTATACAGCTCAATATACATGTACATGAATAAGCTAAAACTGGTCAATCAAACAGCGCCTTCCTTCTATTATCAAGGCCGAAATTTTGTAAAGTCATAAATAATTGGTTTCTTATCATTCCAACCACGGCAGCCAACTAATCACTTCACATGTTACATTCAGTCGTACCTCAGTGTCTGATCCCCAGTGCTCGAGGCCATAATTGGTGTATTCTCTGAGAATGTCCAGTCTCTCATTTGCTGAGATGTCCCAATGTCTGCCACGAAATATGAATAAAACATTAAGGGAAAAACCCACGGAACAAAAAATTACAGAACTGAGTTTTGGGCTCTAATTATTCAAAAACTCATCAAGAAAAATTAGTCAGCCATAGTCATCCGGGAATCATGCATATTCAGTCTCATCTCTCAATGAAATCTTACAAATCTTTACAGATATGAATATTCATGATCCACCTTTGCTCCTTGATCTCAGTGAAGATCCACGGCTTAATCAGAGCCCCTCTTGCAATCATAACTCCAGCGGCTCCGGAATTCTCCAAGTGGGTCTTCACGTCTTCATAGGAGAGGATGTCTCCGTTACCTGGCAGGGACAACAACAGGACAAGTTCAGCTCGTCATCAGCGTCTAAGAGCTGTTTCAATCAAAGCAGGTTCGTCATTCCTCAAAGGCGCATTGATGTACGGTACCCACTACTTGATATGGAATATCCTGCATTCTCTACAGAGGTTTTTTGCGTGATGTAATGATGGGCAAACACAACATACAGGAAGCGTACTTTGTCTGTGGAGGCGTGTGCAGTTTCGAATCTCGGTATTTCGATAGACCTTTTTCCTGTGTTGTCACAATCGTGCTGGACCTCTATGTGCTGCGATGGTGATCTACTTATTCAAGATAAACTGCAGCATTCACACGTGCGCTTGTGCGTGGTACTGGTTGAAACTGCCTGTAGGAACATATTCCATTACCGTGGCCACGGCGATCCACTTGTGGCGGTATTGTTTACATTTAGTGCAATCTAGTCAAGTGGGTAAGAAAGGTCTATTGGCAGTTTCATGTATGCCAGATTGTTTAGTGACTTCAATGGCACATACATTTCTGCACACGACAGTGTAAACTGAATGCCGACCATCAAAAATCAAGTGACTGAAAATCCTCTATACTTAGCCAAAAATGTACCAATGAGGGGGTGGGGTTTGGCCACCTCCACGCACTGCCGGATGTAGTTCCAGTCGGCCGTTCTCGTGTAGCGCTGCTCCCGACTCCGGCCGTGCAGCTGTACAAAAAAAACCCAAATCGTGATTTTGTTTGTTTTTCGCCTTTATTCGCGCCATGCTTTGAAACAGATAGCACTGGCACAAATCTGTGCCGGGAACGGGGCGGGGGACGACTGAGTAGAAAAACATTGCTAGCCATGGAAATGTGAAAAGTTGGGGGGGGGGGCGAAGGGGGTGGTTGGACATGACCTAAAAATCCGTACACCAGAATTCCAGACCCACTTTAATCAAACTCCCAGCCAGCCTTGACGCAACTCGCAACGTACCGTGACGAGGGATGCCCCCCAGTCGTAGATCTTTGGGATCAGCTTGTGGGCAGTATTGTGCTTCTCCGATATGCCCGTCCGCATCTTCACCGTCACGGGAACGTCCAGAACCTAGAGGGAAAAAAAAATCAAACAAGCAAAGGAGTTTAAGGCCAGGAGATGGCTACAGTCGCGGCTCTGTGTGAGGATTAGTGCATACCACACATACATTCTAATCATCATGCACCTGACGTTTCAATGTGGGCCAGCTGCTGGACAGGGCTTTGCATACTGAGCATACCGCAGCCCAGCAGTCGCGGTCAAAAGAATCCCGGTGTTGAGGGGTTAACGGACTGAAGATAAAAGCTAGCGAAACTATATAAAATGTGAGCACACATAAAATTAATTGTCTGGCAGCAGTGTTGTATTCGAGTCCATCACAAGTCCTTTCACAAGTCCCTTCACAAGTCCAGTCACAATATATTCACTAGAATGAATGTCTCATAAGCAATGGAAGATATGTGGTTAGACAGAAAAAGAGGCAGTGGGTTCCTGACATGATAGAAGAAAGTCTGAGATCTTCAAAATAAACTTACTGCGTCCAATCCCCGGACGATGTCTTCAAACTTGTTGGCTCGGCCCATCAATGCGCTGCCTCCTCCCTGAGAGGGGAGAAGATGGACAGGGTCCAAGGTCAAATGCTACGACTATGCCCTGCGGCCCAACCACACATTTCCTGAATTTGTCTGCAAGTGTGCATTTATCCAACAAAACTGGTGACAATGTATTTGGGAAAGTAGACTTGTGCTTCTGCTCTGAATACACCAACACAAAGTAAAACTAGGTGTTAGATTCTACCGAGCATTTAGGAAACAAATCTCCAGTGTCTTGTCTTTTTCTTTGGCCATTCCTTGCCTATTTCAATGTGGTTTACTGACCTTTTGAAAGACCAGATCGATGGGGCAACCTACGTTCAGATCCACAAAGTCCACCTCACAGTATGTGTTGATGAGTTCCGCACACTTGCTGATGGTGTCAGGGAAGTAGCCAGCCAGCTGAGGAAATAAAGAATCAACCGATGTCCCTGAGCAGGGCATTTTATCACAATCAGTTCTTTCCTTGCCGGAGTAGATGGATAGTTTTGGGTTCCTTCATAGTTGAAGACGGATGATTACTTGTCACGTATTATACTCAACAAGATATCAAGAGAACTGTAAAAGTAACCTCAATATTTCTGTAAACAGACCCTCAATTTTTCTGAACCAAAAAAAATACTATTTGGGGCAAGTTTAAAGGACAACCTGAACACCAAAACAATCTTCGCTGGAGTGTCTCTTGAGCAGGGCCCATTCTGAGGGCTGGCCCTGCAGCAGGTTGGTAGCCATGGCCATCTCCCCGCAGGTGATGTCAGCACCCAGACGCTTGCAGACACGCCGGAAAGGAAGGTTGCCGACCTAGAATCACAGCAAAATGAGAGAAAAAAAATATATGAGGGCATGAAACCATCACACACTGTTAACGGCACATGCGGGGCTCAAGTTTTCATTTGACACCGTCACCAAGTGAGGAATAGTTACAACTTTGGCGATCGTTATTTTCGGTTCATTTAACACTTCATGCTGAATGACATCTAAATAGCAAGTATTCCCTGTGCCGAAGCACGGAGGACATTTAACCATATATGGGAAAGCTCTTCACAGCGTGTGCAGTGTCGTGTGAATAGTCTGTATATCTAGCCAAAAATAATACAAGCCCAGGACAACCATGATGTAGAATCAGCAAGAGTCAGAATTCTCCAGCTGGAACCCTTAAACTGAAATACCCTGTAAAATGATGGTGTTAGTTGCAATTAAGGCTCCTTTCCCACTATTTTTAAAACCTGCATACGTCCCAGTAATGCAAGTACAGGTACATGTATTTGAAATCATTACAAAGACAATCAGAGGGATGGTAACCATAGGAATGGCGACCATACAGATGGCAACCATAGGGATGCAAATCATACAGATGGCAACCATAGGGATGCAAATCATACAGATGGCAACCATGGAGACGGCAACCATAGGGATGTAAATCATACAGATGGCAAGTATAGGAATGGCAACCATAGGAATGGCAACCATGGAGACGGCAACCATAGGGATGGCTACCATAGGGATGCAAATCATACAGATGGCAACCATGGGGACGGCAACCATATGGATGTAAACATACAGATGGCAACTATCCGCTTAAGTGCACCCCCAATGGGCAAAGACCATACCTGCCGGAAAAAATCAGTTTCGTGTACTCAGCGTGCTCGGCATCAAACGAGTACCAAAAAAAACAAGCCCTCTTTTGTTCCACTTGGAGCGGATAGGAATGGCAACCATAGAGATGCAAACCATGGGCAACCATGGGGATGGCTATCCATGGGCAACCATAGGGATGGCTACCATAGGGATGGCAATATACAGGTATATACTGTACTCTGCTTATCAAAGATAATATGATGGAATTTGTGAAAAACACTTTTCTCGTGGTAAATTACAAATCCATGAAAACACTTTACTTACTGTGGTTAAGGGTGCCAAATATGATTTCCCTTCAAAGTTCACCTGCTTCTTCTCGCATTTCCTCGTTCTTATGATGTCTTGATTGGTAACAATGCCAGATCTTGGTTGCTGTGAGGCCAGGGGAACACAGTCTCCACTCTGATTGGAAGTTGCCTGGCAAGCTGCTAAGGTGGGTGCAGCGTCATCTGGGCCCAGATTGGTGGCTGCATCTCTCTGGACACTCCCACTCTCTAAAACCTGATTCTGATTGGCTGTGCTTTCTTGATCGACAGCAACACTGTTTTGACCGACCTCATCGACAGGGGTAGGCAAATTGGAAGGCGCAGTCCCTGGTGTAGAACTAAGACACCTAGTTTCCTCTGGCGCACCATTTCTGATCTCGTTCTGGTCAAACTGCCTCAGAGATTTCTTCTTGGATTTCGCTAACAGGGAAAGAAACTGTTCGGCTTTCTCAAACTTGACCTTCTTCTTTCTGAGCTTTACTTTGAGATCAATTGCCAAGTTGTTCAGTGTGGCCGATTTGCTGGCATTTGCCTCAAACTTCTCCTCATCGGTGATGTTCCTGAAGTCTTCTGTTAGGTGGGAGCTCCCAAATCGGCACACCACGCCGTAACGGCACTTGCCAAACGTCTCAAAATTGTAACAGCGGTCTCCGATGTCCAGCTCTCTGGCCGCTGCCTTTGCGGCGATGTCGTGCGAATAGTTGCATCTCTCGCCGTACGAGCACACCTCGCCGCTGATTATGGATGGACAGAGCTTTTCCGAGACGGGCACCCAACGGTTCCGGGGCCGGTTGTGGTTCATCCCCCTTTCCTTTTTGAATTTTTTCTTCGGAGGTCCCCTGGCATCTGCTGTCTGTCCTGGGGTTTTGCTGCTATCTCCTTCGCTGTTTGGAGGTGGCTGATGAGATTCAGAGCTCCCAAATCCGTACTTCAAGTGGATCTTCTCAAAATCGATAAAACTGGGAAAAACAGGTCATATGAAAAGCTCAATCGCGATGTCACCAAATAGTTTAACTGAACAATGCGAAAATTATATTTACAAATATTTGAGAGAGAGCAGTGTAACAATGCTTCCCAGGTGACAGATGGGATGTTCCATTTCATGTTTAAAAATTGATGGATAATATGTCAATTTCAATTTTGCGGTGGAGTTTTAACCCTTACCCCCTTGGGTGTAGGTAAATCATACTGAAACAGAGGAATAAGGAATATTAAGATAACCATGCACTGGGATGAATAATTCATGACATATCACCACCAATCCTCCAATCAGATGAAGGGGATCTGTAAATTACTAGAACTTCTGGCCCACACAAGTTGAGGGGGTACGTGTAGCACATATTCGTAAGAACAATTGCCAACGTCCAGAGACACACCGCTTAAACTTGAAGTGAATATGTAACATTTGGAAATTTTGAAGACATGGACGTGATGGATGAGTGAAACAACAAAACAACAGGCCTGCTTACTCTGCCTTGACTCTTGCCGTCCCTTGCCGTTCATTCAGAATTTTCATCAGTCTTACTTTAGCCTCAGGATGAAGGGTGTCCTTGCATGGCGTGGGGTCAGGGGCAGTGCCTCCCCCTTCGATGTTTCCTTCTGTCATGCTGAGCCGACCTTGACTGTTACTTTCTTCCATGTTTCAGCTCTTTCCACGCTCTTTCTTTACTGTGAAATGATTTTGGAATGAAAATAGAATAGACTGGTGCTTGTCCAACACTCCTCAGTTAACAGTAAAAAAACAACAACCTGGTATTGTGTTTCTATGAATTCCGTCCATAGAGTTAACAACAACAAACAGATGTTAACAACATCAGCAGATCAGTCATGTTTATCAGTGTTGTAGTCGAGGCCACCACAAGACCAGAGACACAAGTCTCCGTGCACAAGACTATGCACAAGACCTGTCTCAAGTAACAGGGTGATCAATGACCAAGAAATGCTTTCATTAAACATGTTAAAGTACATTTGAATAGCTTGTGACTTGGATTCAGACAGAAGGCAACTGTGTTTATGCGGTTCAGAGAAATATGGAAGGGCTGCATGGCACCGTGATCGGAATATCGACGAGTATATAATATCAAATCAGTGCTCTGAAATATGTGATTGCTGAGCTTTCGGTAACTGAGTACCTTCTTCTGGGCAAGCAGATTCAGTGTTTATGTGGTATTGTGTGGTCTTTTAATTCCTCCATGCCATCTTGTCTTGTGAAGGATTAAGACTTCTCGACAACAACTTCACAAGTACAACCTTTGATGTTCATATTCTGGAAAATAAAACCACGATAAAACATTGTAGGATAGGCCTACACACTGATACTGTAGGCCTACTCTGTTTGGTTCTGATGGTGGAACGCTGTATTATCTCCTCATCAAGGTATTAGTAATATGCATCCCTGATACGAAACGATTAAAGCCAAACTAGACTATGAATGGACCAACAGCCTCAGAACCTCACCTATGTCTTCACAAAGATTAAAGAATATCAGAACCTCGTCGTCACCTTTCTCACACTCAAAAAGTTAACTCGGCATTGGCGCAGCAACGAAACGACGTGAGTTCAGTGGGGCTAAGTTCATGCTACATACTGTATGTACATATACAGTGTATATCCGCTACGTGCATGCCACGCGCATATACGGTTAGCTTTAGTGCATTTTGTGTTGTACCCTTTGGGAGCGTCAAATTAAATTATTGTGGATAATAAGGAGTCCAACCCTCATTTATTAATTTTATACAGCTACACTATTATTCTTATTGCTAAAATGATCATTTGTAACAGATTCTACTCAATCTTGAGCAGTCTGCGCTGATTTTTGTTTACCAATTAGAGAGGAAAAACCCCATGTTTAAAATGAAACCTGCCAGACGCCGGGGATGCAGTCTGTGTTCCAGTATCTCTGCATAGGATTTTGCATTCTTTATCACGAGGAGCGCAGACTGGTTATGCAATTGTGCAATTGTGTGCATGCGTCTTAAACATGACCAGGCGCCGGGTCGATTGCGACTTCTATATGAACGTACGTGCTCGTGTATGTATGTACGTACATGATGTCCCGCACCATCTTACCATAGATGGACTCAGCAGTTTTTACCTTTAATTATTAACTTTTTTTGTCTAACTTTACCCCCAAAGCAGGTAAGTTGGATGGTGTCCTCTGTCATTTGCAGGTCTTTGTAAAGTTGCTCTAGCTTGGTAAATGTGATGAAATCATTAATTGGATCGTGGAGTTACACAGTTAAAAACATGCAAAGCCTCTGTCGTTAGGTACATGTAACTCCGTCATTACCAACGGACGTATTTAAAAAACTTTGACTCGCAACGCCTTTGTATGAAAAAGAAGCCAACCAGCGGCCATTTCACCAAGCCGAATACAAAAGCGTGGGTTGGCTCCCTTCCATTGACATCAGGAATATTCAAATTCGAAAATAATATTCGACAGTCGATCGGATATTCCGCACAGCTCTATTGAGGATGGTGTACTGTACCTTATAATACTTTTGGTGGTATAACTTTAAAGAGTTGTTTCTGTGTCTGTTATATATTTAGGTTTTAGAGTAGTTCTGAGTAATGATCTCTTGTTCCCATTGGGATTGAATTGAGTTGCTCTCATGGCTGCCAACATTCCCGAGGTGATGGAAGAGAGCGAAACACCAACATTCATCCATCAAGATCGGACCTGGAGGCCCAACAAGAGAGCTCGCATCCAAGACGGACTTATAAGTAGCAGCGAGACAGACGACGCGTTACTCATGCGGCAACAGCACGCACTGGGGATGCTGGCGGTCATGCAGTCCATGCACCAGCGCCGGGAGCTGTGCGATGTGACACTAGTGGTGCAAGGCCGGTCCATCCTGGCCCACCGGCTGGTGCTCGCCGCCTGTAGCCCCTACTTCAATGCCATGTTCACCAGCGAGCTGAGGGAGTGCAACGAGAAGACGGTCACGTTGCAGGACATGGACCATGTGGCCATCCAGGAGATCGTCAACTTTGCGTACTCGGCCAAGGTCAGCGTGACGGAGGACAATGTCCAGTCGGTGCTGAAGGCTGCGTGCCTGCTGCAGATCGAGCCGGTGATTGGCCTGTGCTGCGAGTTCCTCAAGACGCAGTTGCACCCGTCAAACTGCCTTGGCATCCGCGGTTTCGCTGAGCGGCATGGCTGCTTCGAGCTGCAGCAGGCCGCCGACGCATTCGCCCAGCAGAACTTCTGCCAGGTTGCGCAGCAGGAGGAGTTCCTCCACCTTGGCGTGGAGGACCTCATCGACCTGATCCGACGGGACGCACTGAACGTCCCGAAAGAAGAAGACGTGTACGAGGGTGTCATGCGCTACGTGGACCAGAATCGCGAGGAGCGCATTCCGCGGGTCGGGGAGATCTTCGAGCATGTCCGCCTGCCTCTCTTGTCCTGGGAGTTCCTCCACAGCCGTGTCAAGGAGGACAACGTGGTCACCACGGACGAGAAATGTAAGAGCTTTTTCGACGAGGCGAGGCGGTATCACGCAAGCCAGTTCTACCCTGGTTTGCATTGGGAAGTCAGCATTCGAACATTACCCAGGCACTCATTCAGCCGGTCTATTTATATTTATGTGGTTGGTAAGTACGACGTCTTAAATAACATCTGCCAGAAATAAACTCCCATTCAGTTGTTATTTCAATACATCGTTAAAAGTGCAAGACAACTTAAAAGTATCTATTCATCATTTCACATTGTCAGCTTGTACACGTATCAGGCAATGTAGTTTTTCCTGTTTCTGAGTATTAAAGACTCACAGTGCTGTTGTCTCGGTTTGTTTTGCCAAAGAGATCATAATATGATGTGGAGGCTTTGCATGGAAGCCATGTTGTTGTTGTTGTTGATTAACGGCACATACGGCAGACTAGTGCCCTGCGTGCCACAACCAGTGTAGTCAGCGTCACTCGTAGGTTGTTTGGGTAATCATCTCACATTCTGTAAAAGTGCACCAAGGAGAGAGAAAAGATATGCAATAGAAATGTATTGGATAGATAAAGGAGTCTGCCTAAATGAGTGTTGGCAAGTTAACAAGAGTCAACTCCAAACTGATGTAAATGTACTGTATGTTTAAACAAGAGACCTTAAATTGGAAGGGGAGGGGGCTTGAAGAATCCTCCAGACACTCAGCGCCCCCTAAAAGAGGTCAGGCAAGGTCGGCCGTTTCCCAGCACTTTAAGGGCCCGGGCCCCGCTGGTATGTTCACAGGTCCGGCATGGAAGCCATCCTGCAGGGCAGTTCCTTTATTCCACAGGGAAGCCTCCTTTGTGCACATCCCGTGGCCTGCAAGATGGCAACCATGCAAACCCTCTATTGGCAATCAGTTGGTGGGACTTGAGTCAGATTTTTTTCATCATCCAGTTCTGAGCTGACTGAACTATCCTGTTTCTATTTTTGTAACCGGGTACAGATATCTGAAAAAAGGTGCTTCGAAAGTAAAATATACCCTTACATGTACATCATGAACTACGTTCAGCATACATATATAACTTTTTTTCCCGTTGATTAAAAATTATGCAATAAAGAAAACATGTTTCTCAACAGCCACTAACTGCAGTGGGCCTAGACTGGCTTCCTGAAGTTCTTGATTTTGGAATCTGGGTGCGGAAACCGGAGAATTCGATATTCCATTTTTTTGGAAATCGGGAAACCCTACTACTGCACTCAATACTTGAACTCACTTGAACCTACACCTGTACCAGGACATTTTTCTGCATACACTTGTCGTCACACGCTTCC